CCTACTGTGATACTGTGATACTGTGATAGCACAAGTTTTCCTTGTAAGGATGGTCCTTGGTAAGCAGTGTCTCTTGAGAGTAAATTCCACCAATATATTTGGTGTAGGCCTCTAGTGGAAAAAAAACATTCAGGATAGCAACATTTTCCTCTCTGCCACAAGCCGCATGTAAGTCTTTTCAGAACTAAGTCCTGTCTGTGGGGATTTGGAAGTCAAAGGACGTGAACTTTGGGCTCATCAAATGCTGCTGATACTTTTCCCAGGAAAATTTGGTATCTTAGCCTCCAAAATCAAATTCCGTAGTTCTGTAAATTATGCCTGGAGTTGACCTTTTTGTAGTTGTTTTCCCCCTGAATAGCATGTGCATGAAGAACAGGTTTTTTTTCAACTCAGTATCCCATGATAAGAAAAAAAAGTGTATTTCAGGAGGAAAACTGATACTGTATAGTCTGATTAAACAGGAAAAGATAAAATACATTCAGCAATGAATTGTCAATATTACAAAACAGGCAGTAACTCCTTTAAATACCAGTTTTTTTATCTGCATCTGGTGCATATTAGCAAAAATTTTTTATACTAAGTAGAGGTATGTAGACTTAAATTCAAATAAGTAGCTGTTTGTCCTTTTGTTAATGTGTCTCCAGCAGCTCATGTGCAAGAAAGCCATCATCTTTCACTGGGTTGGAGTAAAAGTGACCCCTGTGAGGAGGACAGTGATGAAGTTAAACATGATTTTTGGCTGATCAATTGAGCTTGGTTTGTATGAAAGATTACATTAAGGAAAGCAGGATTGAGCATCCTGTGTATTTAGCTAAGGAATGTACTTGAGCTAAGAACATTACTACTGGTCTGTGGAGCTAAACCCCTCCTTGAAAACTGGTTTATTTTAAGAACCAAGCCAACTTTTTGCAACATTTGGCTGGTCATAAGAAGCAAATTGCTCGTAAAAAAATTTCCAGTTAAATTGCTAGGGATTCTCTCAGGCCAGCTAGTATCTAATAAGAGCAGACTACAAAGGCAGTCTGAATGAAAACAAGTACCAAAACTTGGACGAATGTTTTTGTTCTCAGATGGTTGTCTACCCTCTGGATTGCTAGAGAAAACAGTGGAGATTTTGATAGTGTTACGAAAGCTCATACTCAACACTGGCTGTGCTGTCAGTAACCAGCATTTGCTGTGCTTTCTGAAGTCATGTTAGCCCTAAAGGATGTTGCTCAAGACGCAGTGTGTCTTTTGGTTAAAATTTGTCTATGCTAAAGTCACCAGGGAGATGACTCTTGACAGAAATCTGCTTCTAAAAAAATTACACTTAATCCAGCAGGGTTTAAAGCAGTGGAACACTTTCTGGTGAGTGTTACAGTCTCAAGGCAATGTGGTAGAGTTTCAAGGGTCCTTCAGGAGTGAGAGTGGATTATATTTAAATGTTCCTTATGACTAAAAAAACCTGACAATAGACACTCCCATTAAGTTGGTAATTGGAAAATTGAAAAGTTAAATCACCTTGGTAATACTACTTTTCATATCTAAAAAACTACTTGGAAAGTTCCAGTGTATCATATCTTGTATCCCAAGCTCACTTCTCCAGTAGAATAATTCACTCTCAGTGCTGTAAAGAGTATATATTGCATGTGAAAATTGTGTGATTATTTTCCCTAAACAGGTGTTGCAGATGGTTTCAGCTAACTACTCTCAGAAGTGTACTTGAGGAATAAGCATATAGGAAAGAGGAAATTAGAGCTGTGCTTCCAAAAGTCATTCTTCTTGACAGGTGCCAGAAATAAACCTGCAAAACAGGAAGCATGAAGATGTGTCATGTTGTAGATACTATTTAGAAAGGAAGTAACTTTTTCAGTGTGACTTTCATTCAGGATTTTAGTTCCTTTGCTTCCTGCTTAAACCATCTGTGCTTTCACATCAACATCTGAGTGGAAACCAGTACCAAGTGGTGTCCCTCAAGGGCCCATACTGGGACTAGTGCTATTTATTATCTTCATCAGTGACATAAAGTGGGATTGAGGGAACCCTCAGTACGCTTGTGGGTGACACCAAGCTGAGCGGAACAGTTAGTTCGCTGGAGGGAAGGGTTGCCATCCAGAGGGACTCTGACAGGATTAAGGAGTGGATTCTGGGGGATGAAATGTCTATTCCTTTGTGAAAGGCTGAGAGAGTCGGGTTTGTCCAGCCTGGAGAGTATGAGGCTTCAGGGAGACCTTACTGCAGCTGTTTAGTAATTCAAGGTTGCATATAAGAACGCTGTACAGAGACTTTTTACCGAGGCCTGTAGTGACAGGACAAAGGGCAGCTGTTTTGAAATGAAGGATGTCAGATTTGGACTGGACATAGTTAACAAGAATTTTTTTTACTGTGGGAGTGGAGAGACACTAGAACAAATTGCCCAGAGAAGTTATGGATGCCCCATCACTGGAAGTGTTCAAGCTCAGGTTGGACAGGGCTTTGAGCGATCTGATCTAGTGAAAGAGGTCCATGTTAGGATGTTTGAACTATATGATCTTTGAAAGCCCCATCTAACCCAACTATGTTGTGAATCTGTGATCTTACTTTTTATCTTCCTTTCTTTGTACAAGCACCCCTTGTACAGGGGTACCCCTTCACAGGCTGAGATTGGAGGCAGCATGGAGATTATCTAGGCCAACCCACTGCTCAGTGCAGGGTCAATCAGAGCAGTATGTTCAGGGTCATGTCCCGCTGGGTTTTGAATATCTCTGAGGATGAGACTTGAGTACCCTCCCTGGACAACCTGTTTACAGTTTCACAGTAGAAATTTTTTTTCTTAGGTTTAAATGTAATTTGTTGGGTGTTTTTTTTTTATTTGTGTATTTTATATTTATTTATTAATTTTTATTTGTGCCCATTGCCTCTTGTCTGCTCACCTTTACACCCTCCATTGATTACTTACACGTATCAGTAAGACACCCCTCTCCCTGATCCTTCATTCTCCAGCATGAACACTTCCAGCTCTGTCTGCCTCCCCTCTTCTGAGAGATGCTCCAGACCCATTATCATCTTCCTGGGCCCTCCTTTCATTCCTTCCAGTACGTCTGTGTCTGTCTTGTACTGAAGAGCGTAGGACTGGGTACAGCTCTCCTGATGAGGTGTCAGGTTCAGCAGAGTGAAATAATCTCTGTCAGCCTGCTGGCAGTGCTGTTACTAATGCAGCTCTGAATGCTGTTGGCCACTTTGCTGTGAGGCAGAGCTCTGAGCATCTCCGCTGCTCTCACACTTGGCGAGGCTTAGTAAGTGGACCAGACTAAATTGAAAAACAAAGCCTGTAGCTGTCACATCTCAGAATAATGAGAAATAAAGGTAAAGAGAATGAAAGTAGCAGGATTTTATTTTGAGAGTTGGAGTCTCATGTTAAAACACTGTTTTCAGACAGTGTTGGATGAACCTGGAGTTCTGCACCAGTCTGCCTTTGTTTGAAGTGACAGAATTTACACTGAGACAGGAATAGGTGGATTAGGCACAGCGTACCTGAGTTTCAGGCTCTAGGCAGCTTGCAGAGCATCACTGCAATTACTCAGTGCAGTCTTTCCCTTTTAATCTGTCACTGGAGCACTAAGATACCAAATGATGAACATTTCTGCCTGGGATTTTAGCTTGCTTTTTTCTACCATCACTTAGGAGTGGTGTGGTTTTTTCCTTCTCCAGCTCCAGCTCTTCTTTTTAATCCTTCTGTGACAAATTGTACTTTGTTATTGAGGTCATTTGACCCTAGATGCCATTATTTGAGAGCAAAAGTCTTTCAGTACTTTTTGCTGTACTACAAAGTATTTCCAAGCTCTAAGAAAAGGATGGAAGTAGATTCCAGCACGTGACATATCTCTCCTTTACAATGTGTGTTAACAAACTGCATGACTAACCTGTTGCGTGTACAGTGCATCTGGTGTACATAGCTTTTGGTTAATACTTCTAGCATTTCAAGTCCTCAAGTGATACCTTCTAGTGTTTTTATTATTTCATGATGAATACAGCTGTACAGATTTGTTGTGAGATCAGTCTGTAACACAGTGTTGCAGTAAACAGTTCATTGTGACTTGTAAACAATTCAGTCCAACCCTGCAAATACAAAGGGCAAATTCTGACCGTGGATAACAGTCATGTCTGTTGTAAAGCATGGGCTCTCTGGGAGTGCATGAAAGAACCTTGAAAACTGAACAGCCCATCAGGTCTCTTCATAAACATGTGATCAGGAGAGGACACAAGGTCTGTGTTGTTGGAATCTCCTCTTTGGTCTGGATTGATTAATTCCTTGCCATAGACTGAAAGGACACACATACTGGACTTTTATGAGAGAAACTTGTCATACATTGGATTAGTCCAGACTTGAGTCTTAACTCATGTTTGTGAAAGACTTGTGAAAGGCGAACCTGAAATGCTTAACTTTTCGCCCTTTGAGAGATGTCTGTGCAACAACTTGAGCTCTGTGGTTTGAGCATGGATTTGATAAGGCTTTAGTGAAATGAAACACAGCAAAGAGTTGTGGTTCTTAATTTGCTGTACCTTCTTTCTTGTAGTTTTTCTCTTGTTCCTGCATTTTCTCCTGTTTCTGTACAGCTCACCACCTATTTTTAAAGACTTTCTTCAGAAGGATGCTCTCAGAACTTGCAGTGCTTTGGGAGCTGTTCTGAAGGTGACGGTACTCTGTCTTGGTTTCATGTTGTTGAACGGGTCAATAATAAAAGCAGTCATGAATGGTGAGGATGAAAAAGAGGTAACATGAGCAGTGTAGTTATATATAACCACATCAAAGGAAAGGATAAAGCTGTGATTACTTGAAACACTATTCCTGCTTTCCTCCCTCTTTCTAAATGAAAAATAACAAACCAAAATGAAAATATTCAGTCTCAAAGCTTGTGATGAAGAAGCAGTTCAGTAGATTAAATGCAGGGGGTTTTATAGTTTCATTATATGCTTCCTATTCAGGTAGCTTTATGATTTGAGGGGTGTGTTATTGAAATGTAGTAATTGTTTTCATTCAGGTAAACAGACATTAAAGATATTTGATGGGAATGATGCTGTGAAACGCAACCAATATCGGCTGATCTCAGTTCCAAGGATTGCAAAAAATGAAGAAGTTGTGGTAAGATGTGCGGTGAACATCAATATTCCAGTGTGATAATGGGGCACATGACTGTATATTACAATTGTTAGGAGCTGAAAGTTTTACAGATGTAACTCAGTAAAAACAAAATCTGTAAATGGGCTACAATAATACAATCTAATTTGACTTCTGCGTGTAGCACTTTTATTATAGACCATCTGAAGAAGTGGTGGCCTACATATCCATAACATTAAAGGGGACCACAGCGTATCTCACATTAAGCAGTCATTCTCCTTCCCTGTGTGACTCTGAGGTCTTAAGTTTACTTATGTGAGCAGTACTGGATAATCAGCTCCATAGGTCTTGCTCTTCTTCTGTAGTATTCAGTTGTTTGACATTGGACAGCCACTGCTATTGCATTTCAGTTAATCCATTTTGAACACTGAAGCATAGTATGGTTACCTCCACTCCTTGGCTGTAAAAGTAGTGAATTGTCAATCGCATCATTGCCACTCCCCAGCTTTTCTAGTGCTCTGTCTGGGGGTGGAAGCATGACTCGGTACTAAGTCAAATGTTCTGTACAGAGCTTAATTTGCTGGGCTAGGCAGAGACCCCATGCAGCACAGAAATAAAGCCTAGAGAGGGTAGGGGTGGTGCACAGTAGAATTAAGCATGGTGAGAACTCAAAGTCATAAGAGACTTGGCCCAGAAGTCCGAAGAATTCATTACATCAGAATTTGACAATTTAAACATATGGGTCATTAAGATTTTTATCTTGATACTGTGTTCAAAATCAACAGGAATTCTGGAAAATATTTGTATTGTTCTGCATGTCAAAGATCTTGAAGGAAAATGGTAAACAGTGCTGAAAACACTTTTATTTAGGAGTGCTGTTTGCTTTTCAAGCCCATTTTATCAGGTTGCTGCTTATAATACCAGGGCAGATTCATACCAGTTCTCATAGCTGACTGTATTCACCCATGGCTGTATTCACTGTAGCATCTGTGTTAGAAGAAATGCTGCAGGCATGGACCAGTAATTGATGTAAAATTCCTGTGGCTGCTTGCATCTTCCAAGGACTGCCCTTAACCTTCCCTCTTTACAGGTTTGTGGGTTCAGGACAGACTTGTGGCTGAGAAGCTCCTAATTTTCAGCATCCCCTTAGTGCACAAAGGTTGTTAGGCATAACCAAGTGTAATTTACCATTTTCCTTGTTGAACTAATTTTGCATGCAGTGAGTGTAGCCTTACTGGTGCTGAATTTTTACATTCAATCTGTCATGTAGGACTTGACTAACATTTGACAGAAATACCATGTGTTCAAATCCACTGATATCTCAAATTTTCTTTTGTATATTCCACTAAAATTTGTTTTTAAAATTTTGCTTGTTTTGTTTGCTGCCATTGCTATTTATCCACCATACTGTGGTTAAAGCATGCATTAAAGGTTCATTCCATATGTAAAATATTTATAAATGTCTGTGGTTACACAGGTATTAATGGTGTCTTTTCAAGGAAATGTTAATTTATCTTGCTGTGTTGCAGGAGGCTGCTTTGAGGGCATACTACATAAATGATGACCAGCAGGAGTATGAGCTTCAGACCTTTACACAGCAGGCGCTGCTGTCTGATGATGTTATCAACAGGAACGATGCTGTGGAGGACAGCAACTTGAGCTCGGTATTCCGCGAATCTGTTCCTGAAGCTTGGATCATCAGAGCCAAACCAAAGGACGAGGAAGTGATCAGAATTTATCCTGCCTGGCTGAAGTGAGTGTTTTTAATCACAAGGTTATTCTGGTTGGCTACAGTTGTCGTCTGTAGTCTCCAGTGTGTTTCAGTTACTGAAGTCGCACAAGTATAACAGAATGTAGTTTAGTCTTCTGTATTTCAAGATTCTTCTGTTTATTTTTCTGAATGAGAAATATACATACTATTCATTTCCGTGCATGGAGACGTGTTTGTGCTTTTCTTTAAATGCATGGAACATACATCTTGTGCAGTTCTGTTGTCGTGTGTTCAGCCAAGAAGATGCAGCTTTACATGAACTCCATCTGTAAACAAATGATGACACACACATATGCCACTTGAAAGCTTGATTTAATTTATTTTTGTGTTTGGAAGAAACATTAAGTAGGAAGAATTCAGTGTAACTTCTGATTTGAGAATAGGAGGAAAAAATCAAGGGAAAAAACTCTGTTCCATCTACCACTGAGACAATATACATTTTAAGCATATTTAGCAGTGGAAACAAGACTGACTGGTAACCAATTCATGTCTTAAGAGCAGTGGTAAAAAAATTAAACATCTGTTCATTTTACTGATGCAACTACATTGCCAAGTTTTATGAAAGACTTGCAGGTAATTCTGTGTATAGAAAGAAACTAATTGCCACAATTGTAATGATCATTTCCTTGAGATGAAAGTCTTTACTTCTCTGTGGGGTGAATGTTGCATCTGCCGTGAACCTCAGTGAACAACTTTTCTTCAATACAGATTTCTGCCTATCCCCATAGAAATAACGCTACTTAGGTAAAAAAGGTACAGGATAGGTCAAATGATTGTCCTAAAATAAGTGTTTCTTTTCTCTTTAGGGTGGGAATGGCATATGTTTCTCTACGAGTAAATAAGGATAGCACTACACAGACTGTCATCAAGGAAGTGCTTCCATTACTTGGAAAACAGGTAAATGAAAGATAGTAAGCATGTCCATATACCACCTGAGTGATCCTGAAGTGGGGTGCGTATGTTTTTTCCCTTTAGAGAAATTATAATCGGTCAGTTCACAGTTATTGTGAATGCTGTTCATGTTTGGTAGATGATCTCTTGTGATTGGAATGATGCTCAAAACTTTCTGCAATCTTGATGGTACATCTGGTTGCTCTGTACTGGAAGTTACTGTCAGTATTTCTGGGTCAAGCAGATTTACTAGCATGAACACAATGTTTCTTGGCATGCAGTATATTTTCTTATGGCTTTTTATGTCTTGAGATATTTAAAATACACTTGTATGTAACTATGCTGCTAATGTTGTGTTGTTGGGAAACTGGAGATCAGTGTTGAGATGATCATGCTTTTCTCCTACTTCTTTGCACTGCTCTGCAAAGAAAGTCATAGAATCCTAGAATATCTCAAGCTGGAAGGGACCCATAAGGCTCACTGAGTCCAGCTCCCTGCTTCTCACAGGACTACCTAAAACTAAACTGTATTGACTAAGAGCATCATCCAGGCACTCCTTTAACTGTGACAGGCTTGGTGCCACTTCCCTGGGGAGCCTGTTTCAGTGACCAACCACCTCCCAGTGAAGACACCTCTCCTAATGTCCCATCTGAACCTCCCCTGACGTTGCTTCACTCCATTTCCCTGTGCCCTGTCAAGGGTGACCAGAGAGAGGAGATCAGCACCTCCCCTCTGCTTACTGCCTGGAGGAAGATGTTGACTGTGATGGGATCACCCCTTGGCCTTCTCTTCTTCAAGTTGAACAAAGTGACCTCAGGTGCTCTTCCTTAGCCTGACCCTTGAGGCCTTTCACCACCCTGGTTACCCTCCTCTGGCCACTCTCTGTTAGTCTGACGTCCTTGTTAAACTGAGGGGCCCAAAACTGCACAAAAGCCTCAAGGTGGGGCCACACCAGTGCCACATAGAGTGGGACAGTCCCCTCCCTCAACTAGCTGGCTATGATGTGCTTGATGCACGCAAGGGCATGGCTGGCCTCTTTGGCTGCCATGTTGATTCATACTCAGTTTGCCATCAACCCACATCCCCAGATCTCTTTCTGTAGAGCTGCCCTCCAGCCTCTGCTCCCCTAGTTTGTATTTATAACCAGGATCGCCCTGTCCCGGGTAGAGAATCTGGCTCTTGCTGTTGTTAAATCTCATATGACTGCTGATTGCCCAGCTCTTTGGCCTATCCACGTCTCCCTGAAAGGCCTCTCTACACTTGAGGGAGTCCACAGCTCCTCTGAGTTCAGCATCATTGTCAAACTTCCTTAATGTGAATTTAATTCCTGCATCCCAGATCTTTTATAAAAACATTAAAGAGCAGTGGCCCTAAAATTGAGCCCTGGGGAGCCCCACTGGTGACTGGCTGCCAGGCTGATGTAATCCTGTTTCCTATAACCTTTTGCACCTGACCCATCAGGTCAACTGCTCACCCATGTATTACGGACTTGTCTACGTATGTGCTGGACAGGTAATCCAGAAGAATACTGTGAAAGGCAGTACCAGAAGCTTTGCTAAAATCCAGAAACACCATATCCTGCTGGGTTCCCTTGGTCAGCTAGATGGGTGACCTTGTCATAAAATTCAATTAAGTTGGTTAAGCAGAACTTTCCCCTTGTGGACCCTTACTATGGGCAATGACTGCACTGTCTCTCTAGTGTCTTTCACTAATTCCCAGAATAACTGTCTCTGTAATTTTACCAGACTCTAAAGTGAAATTGATGGGCTTGTGATTACCAGGGTCTTCTTACCCTTCTCGAAAACTGGGACAGGACATACCAGCTTCCAGTCTATTGGACTCTACACTTCCAACATGGCTGAAAAATGATGGAAAGTGGTCCTGTGGTAACATTGTCCAGTTATTTCAGTACCCTGGGATGAATCCACTGGGCTGTGAGGATGCCAACATAGTTAAGGGCACAGGAGCCTGCGATTGTGTGTGTGGCTGAGTGTGTAAAATAACGATTATTCCTGGATCAGGAGGAGTGGTTTAGGAGAAGATCATGGTTGGTTTAAAACTGTTTGATTTTTCATGCTCTGTGTGCGCGCAGTGTAACCATAACATTACTGTAAACACCTGATGAAATTCTATTTAATTCAGAAGCTACATTTACATGTTGCATCTTTTGGCAGACGGAGTGCCTCGAGAATTTCAAATTGGTGGAAGTGCTTATGGGCAGTAAGCAAGGTAAGCAAAGGATCATTGGTCAAAGGCACGTCTGTAACTGATCTTCCTCCTGGAGCTGCTTTTTCCCCTTTTAACACAGTCCCAGTTATTTTTTAACATATGCCTTCACAAATGGAACTTCAACATCATGTTGAAATACTTCATTAGAAGTGATGTTTGTTAGTTCCGGTCTTGGGTGTCCTTTGGGAATATGGTTGCCTTCTCTTTCTTCATAATCACCTAAAAGTTTATTAGTTGTTTCTGGCAGGTATTGACCCTTTGGCAAAAAGCCCTGTTTAGGGGAGCTGCCTTTAACTGACATAATCGTCTTAAGTGCAGTACTTGGTAAAATTTTATTGCAAAGTTCAGGTGGCTCCCTGCTTTCCCTTCTCTTTCCCTCTGACACTGCCTCCAAACAAGAAAAAATTCAAGTCTTGAGATAGTCCAAGGGGTATGTGTATGCACTATAAAATACACAGGCCTAGAGTTGCTCAAGAGGGTTGTGACCCTGTAAGAGCTGAGCTGGTGTTCTCCAAGTTCACATCCCTTTGTGTTTCATTATTTGTAAGGCTGCATGGAGAGGTAAATAAAGCCACTGAAGTAGTCTGATGATGCCCTGGCCACATCCAAGTAAATATCTTTGTAGTTCAGATACTGGCCTGTTACTTGGCTTTCTTTGTGATCATTATCAGGAAGTTGGTTTATTAGGTTAATGTAGCCTTGTGAATGTCCTACCTGGTTGGTTTCTGGTGCTCTTAAGTTTTTTTAATAGTTTTTGTTTATTGAGCCTAATAATAACTTGAAGTGCTTTTAAACAGGATTAATGTTCTTTCTGTCTCCAGTTCAGCGCATGGTGTTGGACAATCAGGAGCTGATTCTTAACAGACTCAAGGACATAAGAAAGGTAAATCTGAAAAAGTAACATGATCCTTTTTTCTATCAAGGAGGTAATCCCCATTATTACAGAAAAGGCAAGTAACCAATTTAAGATTGAAGCTTGTTTCTGTTCAAAATATCCTCCAGGCTTAGAGGATTGACTGCTAAGTCCAGAACTATTTGGGATTTTGTTTCACAGTATCTTTTGGCCAAATGTCACATCGCTTATTTTTCTTTATTTCGGTAGACTTCAATACGTCAGATGAATCAAACAAGATTTTACATTGCGGAAAACAGTAAATCCATAGTGCGAGTAAATTTACTTGTTGGGGGCCTTCCACCTCAACTTTCTCGTGAAGAATACACCAATATTCTCAAAACTGAATTAGCTATCAAAAGTAAGTATGTGTTTTGAGATATATTCATATGTATAAAATATAGTATAGTAGCATCTGTTGCTCCTTTTTTTTTCTTAGTGTTTTAACGTTATTTGAATAATCAGTCTGCCTTGTGTATGATCATGGGGGCTTTCTTAATTCATTTGAAAATGCTCATGCTTGCATGAGAGATGTAACAGCTCATTATTCACAGAATTATTAATACATTACTTGAGTTGTATGTGACCGCACCATTTTTTCTCTAGTGAAAAGTATCACTTCTTAGAATTGAACCATACATACCCTTACACCATTCAAATCATGGCAGTGCAGTTTAATTCCCTGTGCATGAACGTTCCTCACCTTTGTTAACCTCTGACATTTTTTGTGTGGGCTGTTCTCCATGTTGTTCATGAGCTCTGTGCTTGGTCATGGAGAGGAATGAGCGGTGTGTGCACACACATACAGACAAGTACTCAGTTGAGAGAATTTATTTTTCTTTTTGAAAGAAGTGTAACTGATTTTCCATAATACTCTTTCAACCAACGTAGACTGTAAACAGTGTCAGGAATGCGTCATGCTTTTCATTTCAGGAAGCGAAGCATTTTTCCCAGTCTTTTATGTAACTTCAAGAGGAATTAAACTTCAAATGCCAGAAAGAATTCATAGTCACATTTTATGAAAATCAGTTTAGCTTTTCTAACTTGCAAAGTAAACTTAGGAGAGGGAAAGTGTTAGCTGGAGGTTCTCCCTATATTTGTGTAACTTTTAATATTTATTTATGTTATATTGATGTAACTTTTAAAAATATTTTAAATATTTACTCTAAATGTACCAAGGTTTTATGTGTTTGTATTTTTACCCTTTGCAGCAAATGTAGTATCTGTGAGTCATGTTTATCAAGCACAAGGTAAGCATTAAGATTTTCTGTCTTGCAAATAATGCCTATTTTCAAAACTGCAGCTTAGTACTAGGGTCTCTAAGTTTGGGGTTTGTTAGTCCCAGCCCCTCAGGTAAAATGTAACTTGTATTTACAACGAGCAGTGGATTAGTGTTACCTTATTAAAAACAAAAAGGTTGGCTTTATGCCTCATGTACCAGAAAGTGGAGACATTTCACCATAAAAATGAGTTTGAAGTCGCACTTATAACTGAACAGTCTAACACCACCAAACAGTTAAAAGCCCTTCAAGTACTCTCTCTTTATTTTGACTTCTAATACGCTAAAATTAGGTGCTGCTTTTGAACTTGATGGTACTGTTACACAGTCACTGTTTCCTAGCACAGTTTAAGCGGGAGTTCAGTGGCTCCTCTGCAGAAAATCAGCACACTTAACTCTGCATTCACCCTTTCAGATGTTGTTCTGCTTTTGCTTTACGAGCTTTATTTCAGCAAGCTTGAAGATGAGGTTTCTGAAAGCCAGAGCAGCAGTGGCTCTGTGCAGCTTTAGTGCAATGGTCAGGTGGAGATCTGCATTTGGGAAAACTTAGAAGTGTGGAATTTCTTTTGTACATTTAGGTGTTCGTATTCAAGATGTTTCACAACCTTTGGCAGGCTTAATTTTCACATGACTGCTAAGTGAATCTTTCTATAGTGTGATTTTGAAGACTGATGCATGCTTCCTTTGTGTATTTGCTGTCTCCACGTGGCTAGTAAATACAGACTTGTCATAGGAAAACCATAAAGCTTTCATACGTGCCTTCTCCATTTATATGCCAGTGGAGAACAGTTGGTTTTGTGATACTCTTTTCATGTCACAGCTTCATTTAATCAAGATCACCTGCATGTGGTTTTTAGATATTTCTGCTTGTGTGTGATTTTTGTTGTTCTTTGTGGGATTTTCTTTTTTTCACTTTCTGAGTATTTTAATGCTTCTGGTAACTTCCTGACTCTCTTTCTTTTGGTTGCAGCCAGGTTGTGGTACTAGCTCACATCTCATATGCTGTCCATTATGCACTTTGGTCTTATCGTACCCTGTTTTCCTCCTCACTATCTTACTTTAAACTAACTTGTCAGTATTTTATTTTCTTTCATTTCTCCCTTTTGTCTTCTCTTCTTCCCCAACTTCCCCATACAGGTCCTAAGTCAACGTAAAGATATTAAAGTGATTCTCAGACCAAGTCTTTGCTTGTAATAATTCTTGCTGGGATATTGTTAATGAATGGAACTACTGGATTTTTAACAATGAGATGCAAAATGAAACCTAATACCTTTGTCACTTCTGCATGAGGAGAATAGTCTGTTGGTTATGATAGAGAGTAATAGGCCATACTTCTGAAGCCCAGAGGAAGTCTTCAAATATGCAGTAGCTTTGTGCTACATTTCCTCTTGTCCTCAAAATGCTTTGCTTTGATAAAAATCCAGGTTGTGCTTGGGGGTATGAAGGAAAGACTAAAAATCAAAACAGCCAAATTCACTGCTAACCAACAACCACAAGTGCTGCAGAGTAACTTGTACTGAACAATGTCCTGAGTAAACTGAGTAAACTTTTGCTGTGATTGATATACAGGTTTCCTGATAGTAGTAGAATATATAAGAAAAACCCAGTTCTGATGCCTCTTTACAGGTGCTGTTGTACTCGAAATTTCATGCTTTTCTGAAGCTGAAAGAATATATATGCTAGTTAAAGATACAACTGTCAATGACAAGCCTCTAAACGTTGTGGTGATTCCTGAAGTTGTGGTAAGAGATGGGTTTGTATTTAAAATATGTCTTCAAAAGAAAAACAACTACCTTAAGGCTTTTTCTGCTAAGTAAATAAAAATACATTTTATTCAAGGGAGCCATAAAGTGAGCTTCTGTAAGCAGTGTGACGAAACAAACACTTGAGAGCCTGTACTTTGTGTTTATGATACACTTCTGCAAGTTAAGTCACTTCTGTTACGGTTGAGTTGTCAGGAATACTATATGACTATGCAACAGCATAACTATACAACTATAATGGGGGAAAAATCCAAACAAAATCTTTTTTCTTCTTTATTTCTTCCAATGATCGGGAAGTTAGGTGCGGTTCTAGTTTCAGCTGGCATGTCTTGAAATGCTTACAACAACTTTGTACTGGGGACTAAATGTATTTCCTCACTAACCATGAGGTAAAGTGCTACTGCTGATCTTCACCTTTACATTAACTTCATATCCCCCGTTCTCTAGCAGAGGGACTTTGACCTTGTTCAAGTGATGCATTGTGTATTCCAGAGGAAAAATAATAGTCTTTTGGAAGACTTAGTGCAAGAGTCCATTCACTAATTCATGCTTGATTCTGATTTCTTAGTTTTTATGGTTAAAAGTCACTTTCCTATGAATCAGTTGGTTTTATAATAGATTTCATGTTAACAAAGCAGATTTGGAGTGAAAAGAAGGAAATGGTTCATTGAGCAAAGTGCTTCTTAACCAGGATGATGTAGGTTCTGTCCAAAAGAGAGTGTAGCCATGGTTACTTCCTGCTGAGCTGTTGCCTTGCAGTTACTGCCTTTCTGGAGTTGCGTTATGGCAAGTGATCTAACTGAGAGTCTTGGTTTGACTTTAGAACCTCACAGAAAGTTGAAAACTTAAAAATACCTCATAACTAGGAACTATGAAGCAACTCTAGAAGGCAGGGTCTCAAGTTCAGTAGTCAGAGTTGCATATTTACATCTCTCCTTTTATGATTTAAAGAGTCCTAGGCTTGTCAAAGTTTTCTGAGGGCAACATTGGATTTTAGTATGAGCAGATACTAGTGGTAGTGCTACATGAAACTGGCAAGATTAAAAATTATCCACCCTCTGAAAAAATGATAGCCGCCTTCCCATGCACTTGTGGGCGTTATGTTTTGTGAGACCCCTAGAAACAAACATCCCCCCCTCATCCAAACTACGTTTCGGAGTTTGTTACCAGAAACAGAAGGCAGCATGAAGATGGCACTGCTTTTGGATGCTTGTTTTCGGTGGCTTAGGCAAATGTATTACAAGCCTGGATTTGGTGCATGGTATTTGAAATCGAACATACTCATCTCTGTTGATTACATGTGTCTGGTTTTCTGACACTAAGTATGTTGGAAGTGAACTTCTTGATGGCTGGAAAATACAGATAATTATCTGATGCAAGGCTTTTTCAGAAACTCCAGTTTCTGAACTGAGGAACTGCTAGGGATGAATTCATGTTATGTTAGAAGGAGAGGGAAGGGCTGTACATGTGCATATGCATTTTGTTTCTATTGCAGCATATGCTGTTTCTGTCTGGTCATCTCACAGAAATAAGCCAAGATTAATTAATCTAAATAATACTTCAAGTGGTGTTTTTATGTGCTTTGGCCATGCAGCTTATGCCATTCACTAATTACCCAGGGGAAACTGATGAGTGATTGTTGACCCTACACTGGGTAGCAATTGGAGTAGACAACCTCCTAAGGTACTTTCCAACCTAGATTATCCTTGTATGGTGTGATACTGTCAGCCGTTGTTTATAATTTATATATGTAACCATTTAAATACAGCACCAGGTTGTACTTATCATGAGCTGAACACAATATTACATTTACACTTTGTTTGACATTCCTCTTCTGGGTGAAATACAAAGGAATTGGGAATGAAGGGCTAATGTGTAGTCTTGGAAGACGAATGGGTAATAAGATAAAGGCCATAGTGTTTTGGTTAATGAATGATTTTTCCAAATTGCAACTTCAAAACAAACCAACCAAACAGACAAAAAAACAAACCAAAACAAACACCACCCCAAACCAAACAAACAGAATCTCCCCTAAGCACAAGGAAAGCACAAAAGTAAATCCTAGTCCTTTGTTTTCCTGAGGTGAGGTTCAGTTGCTCGTTGTCTCATATACCTTCTGAGGAGGAGGCTCAGTTCTAGTCTGCTGTGGTCAGGTCTGCCAGAAGCAATTCATCCTCTTACTGTCATTACTGAAAAGTTTGAATGCAGAATGAGTTTGCGCTGTGTATTAGAAAGTCAAACAATTAGTGTGATCAGATGTGTTGATCTATTCTGCTGTTTCATGATCTTGGGCCTTTAAGAATTTAATCAGACACTTTCATAATATTCAAGTAAATGAAAATACTCACTTTGTTGGAGTGTAAAAAGTATTCAGTCTCTCAGAAAGCTGTTTAGCTGCTGAGTAGTTTGGTATTTCTCTTTAGTAAGTGTCAAGGTGAAAGACATTGCAGGGCTGGATTTTTTAACTGAAAGCGAAGTTACCAGAACTGCTTGTTTGCTGGTACTGCAAAGGAAAATGAGCAGCAAGTTTTACAAGAGCAGTATCATCGTGAAAGTGACAAGTTTCTGTGTTTTTATCACTAATGCCACTTACTGGTGGAGTGTCCTCTAACGTACTCTATTTAGGTTCCTCAAGAGCAGTAGATACGGGTGTGGAAGTTTCCATTTCATTCATTCTACTGATTCGTTACGCAAATGTATTCAACTTTAACGTGTGGTTGTTTAATGACTCTCTTTGCCAAAACACCATGCAAGGTTACTTTTCACCCTCCTTCCACTGCTGTAGTTACCCTCCTGCTGTTGACCCAGCTACTGCTCTGGTTACATTCGAGCACCTTGCACGTCATTGCTCATCAGATGCAATGACATCTTTCTGCCCAGGATGGAGGAAGTATGTGCTTGGGGTGTTGTGAGTCCTTGCACACAGGAGATTCTACAGCCAGCCAGCTTGCAAATGTTGAATCTTATTTGTCACAGAGGTATCTGCAGTTCCTGGAGAGAGTCCTCCACTCTGGAAGATGCGCTGTGATGGTTGTGCTGGCCAGCCTGTGGCACAGAACACCTTGTTCTGCTTCATGCCCAGATGGGATTACACAGTACACTCAACAGAAAGGGTATTCGTTTGGATACTGACTATCTTGCCCCAGCCTGAAGCCATGCTTTGCTAATCCTGACAAATTAAGCAATTCACAGTGACTGTCAAGAGTGTCTAAATCACACGGCCTCCTTCAGCTGTCTCTAAGAAACGAGCAATAAATTCCTTCCTGAACACCAGCCAGCACAAAACCCCTCTGCACATTTCACTCCTCAGGCAGAGAGCACTGAAGCCAGGGCCAAAGTGGGAAGGGAGCCCTCAGGCAGTGAGTCACACATCCGCCTCTGCCCGGTAACAAACTCATTCTGTGTCCCCGATGGGGCTTGACTGTGGGATTAAAACATATTCAGCAGCATAAGAGCGCTACCCTTGTGGCCATCTGTAATTGTAATGGAGCGTCTGCAGAAAGCAAATCCCTGCTCTGCTGTACAAACTGTCACAGGATTTTTAACACCCACTGGAAAATAACTGTTTTCTTAAAAGCTGGCCTTTATCTAGCAGCTCAGTAGTGTTTCTTAATCCTTTTAAGTGTAAATAAGAGTGGCGGTGGGAAGCAAGTTAACTGTAAGGCTTAAGCACTTTCTAGAATACTTCTATTTAGCCTACATAGGCATGTTTAGTCCTAACAGGTATAGTTAGGAATATACATTAGAAGATACTTGAACAAGGATGGGTTGGAGTGCTTCGGCTGCTCTATTTACACTACAGACAGATACTTTATTAGCCCCTTCTGCACAGCTGCTTGTGAGTTGTCCTAGCTTTCAGGGTAAATGTTTCACTTTTTTCTGGTACAATATTGACACTGACAATTAGGAAATTTAGATGGCAGTTTTGTAGAAACTGTAAATACATATTTGCAACAATATATATTTACTTGGGTGAGATCCTAGTCGACTTTCCAAGGCACAGCTGTGCTTTTGAATGCCTTGGAGCTTACATCTCAAAAATCATTGCGATTCCCTGCAGTTCCTTGTGAATTATTTTAGTTACTTGGTTTTGAACCCAGTGCATTAGAACTCGTCTGTAAAAGCAAGTAATATAAAACATGTGTTCAACATGTCACTTCTAGATGTCCAAAACCAGTATTTTTAGAAACTTCCTTCCTGAAGAAGGTCATCATGTTCTTGTCCACATTCAAGTAAGGTATTTGTTTGACTTGAATGTTGTGCTGGTTTCTCTTCTCTTGTCCTTCTTTGAAAATGCTTTCATTTACTTTGAGCAGCAGAACTGAATATTGTTTCTTTCTGTTATCCCCTTACTTCCTTCTTTATTAAGCCCCACAACTTTCCAGGCGTTAGACCAATCCTGAGGGTTCAGATAGCTCGTGTTTTCTGGGAGGTTGAAGTGACTGCAGATGAAGTTTAGGTAGTAAAAAAGCTTTGAAGAGGAAGAAATGGGAAGTGTTTGGGTGGAAATATAGGGCAGATTAGAAGCTGGAACAAGGAGTGCAGAAAGGGAACAGGTTGCCCCATTACCCCAAAGGGATGTGGTGTTTCCTTTCAGATCTGCTCTGCCTTTCTTTGCTTGTGGGATTTTCAAAGGAACATTCGTAATAGGATATGGCACATGATGGTGCAAGAACAGATGGAGTAATAAGAGCTTTACTTTTGGAAAAACTAGGGCTCTGCTTACTGTTTTTATTAATGTCTGTGATGGCTGGAGGGGAGGAAATCCACTCCTCTCATTTGGATGTGTGGATCCTTAAGCCACACAAGACCCAAGAAAGTCCTTCCCTTTTCTGACAGTGGCATGAGTTGTTTTCCTTAGACCTCCTTTTCTGGCTACAAATACCCTTTCCATATGCTTGACAGAAATAAATGTATTACCCTTGTTGTGTGTTGGGCACGCTTTGAACAATTGTTTACCCTTTTCCAATACAGACTGAATGTGGAGGTGAGAAGTGTTTTGACCTAGCAGCCGCCACAGTATAGTGTGAAGGTGGTTCCTCTGGAGGCTGTGAGGACAGCTTTGCAGCCTGTGTCTATCCAAGCTAGTTATTTTGACAGCGGTGAAACCTTTCCCATAAGACAATCATCAACCTTGTTACCTGCTTAGTGTTCCTCTTCCCACTGTGTTTTCTGTTTGTGCCTACAAGTCATGCTGAACATCAGAGGGCATTTCTTGTGCAGGGAGTGACACAGAGGAGAAGGATTTTTGTGTGTTTGCAGGTATCTTCACATGTCTGGGAGGATATGGCTTGCAGAGGATTAGCACCCAGCGCTTTTAGGAAGGCAGAATTTGAGGAAATCTCTCAAATACTGGAAAGCCCCAAATGAACATTTGGTTTCAGTCATCCAAATCACATCACAGGTAGACAGTGGTCTGAGGTATCTCAATATCACCTTGCTTCCCCACAAAGTTATTTGTTAATTTGCCCTGATTTCACCCTTCGTCGCCTTATATTGTGCTCTGGTGGTTGCTTGCAGCAGCAGCAGCAGACAGGCGCTCCGCATGCTGTCTCCTCCCCTCTGTAGCTGTTGGTATCTCTCTGCGTGTTTGCACGCTGCAGTCATGCTGCTGCCTCACTGCCCCCTGAATCATTCTTGTCTAAATTGACTTATATTTAGCACTGTTGTTCTGTTCCCTGAGTCCATCCTGTCAGCTGCGTGACAAATTGCTGTTCCCTGAATGCTGTCCAATTTGTAGACACAAATTACCACGACTTAGGGACTGTGTTAAACGTTTCTGTTTTGAAGCGTGCTCGTTGAAATGCCCGATGGACTTTCCTGGTGCTAGAGGCTGTGGCAGGGATGAAAGGTGTGCTGGCATTCTCTGATCCCTGTAGAAGACAAACAGATCTTACAGCATAATTTATGGGCTGGCTGACTGAAAACCAGTCCCGAGGGGGTGCCTCTGAGTGCCCTCCAGTGGGGTTGCAGATATCATTCCCATGCAGTCCATGGGGCACCCCAGCATATCCTTCTGCCATGTACAGAGGAAGTGGTCTTGGGGAGTGGTCTCTGGGTGGGCACCAGGCTCCCCCATCGCACGGCCATGCTTTGAGAGCTCTTTCCGCAGCAGCTTCAGTAGAAGTGTGAGGATTTGTAAGGACATCAAATCCTCCCCATTAAAAATTACAAATACTTACTTTTTAAAGAAGCTTTTGGCCTCTTTACTTCATGGGAAGGGGCGTGCCAGTATTTGCCCCAAACACTCTGGTTTTGCAATATTTTGTCCTTGTAAATTAACACGTATTCTAAGATGACCACAAAACTTCACACAAACGTTCCAGGTTCTGGGGAGAAATTATCTCTTTGCAAGGAAGTGTTTGAATTGTACATGACTCTTGAAGGTACCTCCTCCCTCACACTGTTGTTTGGCATGAACTACTTCAGTTTTAATGTTAGGATCAACTATGTAGTTGGAATGGCTTAAGGAAACTTCAGTTCCCAGAAGAGTAAGATCAGCAGCGAACCTACCCCTTGTCTGGACATTGAATCCTTTTATTTATAAAATCTGTATGTTTTTACTAAGCATCAGGAGGTACTTCTTAGATGTAGTAGTAATTTTCCTGCCTAGTAATAGTTTTGGCTGATCCTTTTCCATGTCTTCTTTCAGGCTTCCAAGATACCACAGAACTGCTGCCCAATTCTTGTGTTTGTGAATCCAAAAAGCGGTGGTCTAAAAGGTCGCGACCTGCTGTACAGTTTTAGAAAGCTGCTAAACCCACATCAGGTCTTTGAACTTACCAATGGTGGCCCATTGCCGGGGTAGGTCATCATATTTTTGAAAGCTTTTTATTTGTTTTGCTTTGTTACTTATTTTTTTAAAAGATGGATCAGATTCACTTGTCAAGGAAGACTGAAATTGCTTCTGTTCTGTGCCTGAAGACCAGAGCAGTGGATCACTCCTGGCTGGTTCTCATTGTGAAAACAGGTTTGAACTTTTGGGTTCTGTAACAGAAAGAGAGCACAGTAGTTCTGGTAGACATGCTTATGTCAGTTGCAATAGAGCCGTGTCCTGGGAACATGATACGTACTTTACAACAACACAGATTTAATCATTATTAAAAATAAAAATACGCTGTAATCAAATGGGGATGGAAAGAGAAATGTCACACTGCCCCACAAGGACTCATTTTTTGCTTTTATTTCCTTTGATGTTTCATGGGAACTAATAGGAAACTATAATAAAATTTTCTATCTGACTTTTGAAACTTGGCCACAATTGCAAAAGTAACAGGGCTTGCCTGGTCACAGCTGCAACATTTCTAAATACAGGGAACAGAACATAATGCACTTGTAGGGAGGCAGGAACCAATTACTTGGTTTAATCAACACCACTTGTTACCAGCTTCATAAAACTGAAAGTGATGGTTGTGGCCTACTCAGAGTAGCCTTGTTCCTTCAGCACTGCTTTAACAAAGGACTCTCGTGACAACTCTACAGAACAAAAGCTTTTGTGTAAGAAACGCAGCTTACACAGGAGGCAAGAGAAAACAAGTTGCTCAAACTAAGCTTTTTGTCAGAACTGTATTAATTCTGTTGTGTTTCTAATGTAGTTCAAGCTGCAACTTCAGTAATTCGTTCATTTTGGTTTGCCCATGGAATCCTTCTGTAGCCTTATAGCAAAATGCTTCCACTTGTTCACAGCTCCTTGTGTAATGGGAAATAAAGATTAATTTGCATCATATGTAGGTACGTAGGATGAAAAGCTGCAAAAGGTAAGAGTGACCAGGAAAATATGGCTGTGAAGAAGAAAATGTACTATAAGTCGTATGACTGACCATGTAAAAAAAAACCCTACCACTAATCAACATCTCTGCTAGAATTTAGAGAGTTATAGATGTTCACACTGAAATTATGAATAGTTAGATGTCTGTCTTTGGAGAATAAGGAGGTGATTAACAGTTTCTCTCTAGCTGTGATGAATCTTAGCCGTATGTTTTTCACTTTTTTAAACAGCTTTATCTAAAAGTTCCTATTGTTCCATTCACTTTGTTGGAAGTTGATCCTGAAACTGATGGTAGTGGTAGAGGGAGAAACGAGGAATACACTAGTAATGTGTTATCTTAAGTAGTATATTAAGAGGATTTGCTTTTCCTGTACCACATTGTAACATTTTTTTTACCCTGTGCTTTGTTTCTCAATGGAGGTTTCACACATTCTGTAAAGTCCCCTCCTTCCGAGTGCTGGTGTGCGGAGGGGATGGCACCGTCGGCTGGGTCCTCGGTGCACTGGAGGAGATCAGGCACAAGCTGGCATGCTCAGAGCCCTCAGTTGCCATCTTACCTTTAGGAACAGGTGAGAATCTCAGCAAGGACCATTTTTCTGAGGGTAGAAGGCCTCCAGAAGGTTTGTCTTTATTTATCCAGCTGACAGATATCCCAGTTTTGCAGTAGGGATGCCATGACTCAGTTCTGGCTGGTGTTCAGAAGCCAATGCAGTATCAGCTTTTCAAGGAAATGTTGTCAGTCATGCTTTGTAAAGGAAAAACAAGTGGCATGGGTGTGTGTGAGTGGGCAGGAGCTGGCGAGGGCAAAATATTCTCCTCTTGACAATCATAGGTGCATCAGCCATTGCTATAAACCAATGAACCCAGCTGCTCCCTGACTTCTCAGCTCTGTAACAAACAGGTTTTTTCACATTTTATGAAAACTTTTCTCTTACGTGATACAAAGCCCATGTGCAACACAACAACTTTCAGGTATTTTTTCAGCTTGTTAACTTTTCAGTCCAGTCTCACTACTTCTGTGACTTCTTTGGAGCACCTTAATGCTGTCTGATTTGTGAAACAGGGCAGATACACTTTTTGATGCTTCTAGATAACTTAAGAAATGCAGTCATATTTTGGAATTCTTCATTGTTCCCCAGGTAACGACTTAGGGAGGGTTTTGCGCTGGGGAGCTGGCTACAGTGGAGAGGACCCCTACTCCATTTTGGTTTCCGTGGATGAAGCAGATGATGTTCTTATGGACCGCTGGACTATCCTTCTGGATGCAGATGAGCCAGCTGAAGGTGCAGAGAATGGTGTTGCAGAACCTGAACCTCCAAAGGTGAGCTGAGCACCATTCAGATTTGATTCTTAGGAATGCTGTTCTAGTGGAAATCACAAAGATAGATAGATACTAACCTAGTTTAATCTTTTATTGCTTACCTGTCTTTGAGCTTGGACCTTACTGAGCTATTCCTTGGTGAATACAGCATAGATCTGGAGCTGGTGCTTCTATTCTGGTAGGACTGGTTGGCTGCAGAACACACTTTATAGCTGCTTGGCAAAAAGTGTCTTACAGAGGATCAATGAAAAGATTCAAGCGACAATGGCATACCTGTTTGCTTCAGCTGGGAAGAAATTTATTTCTCAAATAAGAAAACCTTTTTAAAGCAACACCAAACACTTCCCAGAACACTCATGAATCTGGAGCGTCGACCAAAAAGCACTTCCTCTCCACACCACTGTACTCTCATCTCTCCTTGTAACATTTCAAAAAATGAGTAGGAGTTGCTAGCAAATAGAGGAAATAAATCCTTATGTCATCTTACTCCTATTGTGTGCCTGCATATATGGCATCTGTTTTATTTTGGCACCTGTTCTATTTCTTTTATTTTTCTGAGTGAAAATCCCTGTACCTTGGTCTGTATTTCTTACTTCTGTTTAGGAAAATAAAAATGTTGGTTATAGATGGTAACTTCAGAGCTTTGTGTGAATCGTGGTTGTGTTTATCTTCAGATAAAACAAGGAAATTGGACAAAAGGCAGCAAAACGCAAGTAGGAAATTGTAGCATGGTAGCAGTTGTCCAAGATTATAGTCCAGTCACTGGAAAATCCTAGGCATTATGTGTCAGTTGGAGGATTAAAGTTGCTCAAGTTCCAGCTATTTTTCATGTGGTCAGGACAGGGGTTGATTTGTCATGACTGCCCTAATCTGGTTTTTAAAGGTGAAGGGTGGGAGAGTCAAGGGCTAGGATAGAAAAGCTATGGAATGAGCTGGTATGCAAAGAAAGAATTAATTGCAGAAATGGTCGAAATCCAGAGAAACTGGAGATTGTCATATAGGGACCTATTTAAAAGCATCTGAGTAGGTGAAGTCAACTTCTTCATTCACCTGGCATAAGCTTGTTCCCTTCCAAAGTAAGGAAGAACATCTTCCCAGTCATGTCATGATAAACCTATGGCCAGTGCCAAAACCACCAGTGGCATTAGTGTTCAGCAGCTTGTGCAGTTATTGCATAGAATTGCTTTGAGAAAGTGGGTTGGTTTTATTCCTGCATTTGTTTTCATTTCCTCCTTATTATGCTTGTTACTTGCAGTTAAGATCAGATTTAGAAGTTTCAGATACTTTGGAAATAATGACTACACACGTCAACAGTTGTCCATACAGCTTTGCTTTTAGCACAGTGTTTCTGGAAAATGTGTTCCAGAGTCTGTCAGGGTGCAAGTGTCTCAGGAGGGCCACCTACAAACCTTGCGTTTGTTGAAAACTGTGGAACTTCTTCATTTGTAAACCTAAGGAGGAAATAATACGATTTTTTTTCTTTTAATGCCAGATTGTACAGATGAATAATTACTGTGGTCTTGGCATTGACGCAGAGTTGAGCTTGGACTTTCATCATGCTAGAGAAGAAGAACCAGGGAAATTCAATAGCAGGTAATCTTGGGAAACCAGGGGTGAAGGGTGACTTGTGGTATTGCGTAACTTCCAACTCACACTATGACTGATAATCTTGAAATGCTACAGGTATCCACAAACAATATTGCTTGACGTAGAGCTGGCACAGGGAGGGCTTAAGTTAGCCAGGAACTTGCAGGCACAGAATCTGGGGGGCTTTGTTTGGTTTTCTTTTTCTTTTTTCCTCATCCCCCTTCCCAAGAGAGAGCACCAAACCAGTTTCTGGAAGCAGTGTCATTACATGCACATATTTGCCAATAACTGCAGTGTTGAGTTCAGTCAGTGAAATTTTGAGGTAGTGGAAATATCTCTTATTCAAAGCCTTTAGCAGGAGGGGGAGCAGTGCTGCTACCAGAGCAATGCACTGGTCAGCACTTCTTTGTACCTTTCCCACCCTTGCTTAGTGCTGTGATAGCACCTGTATGCTGGTAACAAGAATAAGAAAAGATCTCTGTATCTCAAGTCAGATTGTGATTTTAAAAAGTGTGGAGAGGCACTTTCCTCTTTGCTTGTGTCATGGTTTAAGCATGCAGATCAATCAATATTAGTACTTTTTCTTCTTCCCATAATCACTGAAATTGATGAGAAGAAGAAATCACGTATCTGTAGTCTAGCAAGCCTTCCAAATAGTTCTGGGATGACATAATGGTGCAAGTGCTGCAGCCCAGCTGATGCAGGGATCACTGGCTCCATGGGGATGGATAAGCTTTGGGTAACGCCCTGCTCTCCTCTCTCAGCCCCAGCATTGTCATTTACAGCAGTGTCTGCAATATGGGTCGCACCTAATACGAACCTTGATCTACTTCAGCATAAATAAGGTGTTGGAGACTGCTTCAAGGACAGTTTCCTCCCTTCTGCCTTGCCAGTTGACTGTGGTGAAACTGCTGTCTGCAAATGTACCTACCCAAGGGTTTGCTTCAGGAGATGACTATTCTTTCTACCAAAGTGGGCAAGCTAGTATGTTATTGACTACAGCTATCAGTAGACTGACAACTTCCACTGGCACTTTCTCCCCAGTCCTGTCACACATGTAGATGTGCAGAGATGATTCTCTCTAGTGCTGGGTATGCAAAGATCACTTTCCCAGCTCGGCTAGCCATTTTAATCATGAAATTTTTCACTTTTGGAACCACTGGGTGTGAATTGGTGGGGTAATGTTACAGAAATCAGTTTGTTCTTACCTGGTCTTAAGGTCAATAAGATACATAAATGGAAGGGAATATGTATGCAAGAATGGAGTGATGGGATTTAAACTGTGACAGACTTATCCTTTGTTGTGGTATCCGGTGTCTCTGATCCTGTGGACCACAGTGGTCCGTAAGTGTTCATCTTTGAAGTCATGTGATTCAGGACTGTGTCTGCAGTTATGGTACTGTGTTGTGTTCTCTCAGTTTCTGCAGGCTTCCTTCTTCACGCAACAAAAATTAATATTTCTTGGGGCTATTTATTGTGTTTCCTACTGATACTCCATTATTTTTCAGTTGCATCCAAATTAGACAAAACCTGTCTTACCATAGGCACATCTTATTGTCTTGTCTGGAACAGAAGCTTATGTTAAATATATGTTAAATGGTGCTACATCAGGTCCCTTTGATTCAGTGCTGTTTAAAACTGTTAGCATGTAGTACTAATTATTCCCAGTGTAATAATGTAAAAGAACTGAAGAGTCTCTGTCTGAAGAGTTGACTGTAACCCACATGCTAAACTGCCTGTCTTTCCCACATGAATGTCTACAGCATTTAGACATAATGCTATGAGAGACTTTGCAGAGTTGGATTCCAGTGACACCATTTGCTAGTAGGGTCAAACAATGAAAATTTACACTTTTTATTTTAAGGTTGTCCTGAAGGCTGTGTATCAAGAGATTTCCAGTATAGAAGAAAATACTGTGTGTGTTTAACTAACGTTTGTTTATGTAATTCTGAAAATATTTTTATATTTCTAGGAATGCCATAAAGTCTTCTCCATTTTTTTTTTTACTCTAAAATTAGAGCCATTAGAGCTCTGTCACAGGTTAACAGTACTAAGCATGTTTTGAGTTTCTGCAGCTGAGTATATTTCAAATGAATGAGCAATATGTGGAGCAAAGACTTGCAAAGGTTTCTCAAGCACTGTTTGAGAAAACATATTAAAATGCTTCATTAGGACTTCTAGATCTTAATTAAAAATGCAGTTTTCCCAGAAGTTTACATTTCAAAGAGTCATTGCACTCAGGCAATGCTTTAAGAAGGGTTGATTTCCCTGTAATAAAATGTCACAGATCTCCACATTCCTCAACAGCACAACTTATCCCTTCAGTAGAAGGTGTATAAAGGAGCAGTTTGTGACTTATGCTTTGTTTCTGCAGTAAACCTACAAGAATTTGGAGAGGGTTTTAACTGACAATCTCTTCAACCATACCTCATAGAAGGAGAAGTGCTACATTGGGCCTTACCTTTTAGTTACAGGACACTTGTCTTCTCCTAGGTTTCACAACAAAGGAGTTTATGTGAAAGTTGGACTGCAGAAGATAAGTCATACCAGAAATCTCCACAAAGACATAAAGCTTCAAGTGGATCAGCAAGAGGTGGAGTTACCAAGTATTGAAGGACTCATTTTTATTAATATACCCAGGTAAAAAGGAGAGAAAGGACCGTGTGTGGATGCATGTCTGGCTTTATGTGTGGAAATGCTGCTTGATATTTGAGCACCAAATGTCAAATGGTTAGATAAATGTTAAATGGTCTAGATTAATAGATGATTATTACTGGTATTTTTGATTATTGCCTGACTTGCTCCCTTTGCAACAGTGCTTAAGGAGCTGGCGCTAAATACCATTTTGACATAATTTTTCTGACCTGTTGAGACTCAGTGTCACTCCACTATCTTGTTTTCCCAGGGCAAACCCCTGTATATTTGCTATTTCTTCTGTGTCCTAACAGTAAGTTGGAATGATTTCCTCACAAAGGTCTTCAGAAGTCTTCTGGAGCAGTTTTCCCATAAACCATTGATTTTCAGACATGGTAGTAGGCCTGTGGTTTCTGCCCACTACCATTTCCAGCCTTCCCCAAACTGAACAGTCCACTGGATTTCATCATGACTTTCAGAAGGATCGGAGCTGATCACTTGTACATGCTTTCTGGCATGCTAGAGACGAGATGCCTGAGCAGGATTCAACTGTTAGGTACTATGTGGGTCCTACAGTCAGCTGGTCAGTCCTGTGGAGCTGGTGATGCTACCCAGGTAGCTGTGGAAAACCCACAGTTCAGGTACCTTTTGCAGGGTTGTGGGGCTCTCCTGACACCTGCAGGGAGCTCAAGTTACTGCTGTGGAGGGAAGGAAGGCAGGAAACCTGGCTTCTTTAAATGTGCTCTTTGTAGAGGCAGGGCTTTTTCTGTACAAAACCAGCAAATAACCAGTGCTGCCGTATCATTCTTTTTCCAAGGATGCTCTTGTCTTAAACTGCCTGTACTTCTTTCTATTTTAGTCTGAAAATGTTTCAACTTTTTATTCAAATACATGTATCCTTACATGTGTGCACATGTGCTTACACACAAGTATACACTGCACAAGAGAACTATGGAGTAGAAAAGATCCCAGTTGGTACTGAGCAGTCAATGCACTAGAACAATAAGCAAGTGATTTGCGTAAGGAGGGTCAGTAGTGCACAAAAAGCAACATAGTGTTAATTAAGTTAGAAGCATTTCAGATGACTGAAGTGCAGAAACACTGTGGAGTGTCTAGCTTCTGAAGCCTGTGGAACTAGCCACCCTCAGCAGGGAGCTAGGCAGGGTGCTCACGGCAGACAGCAGGTCACTGTGGTGTGCTCTCCATGCAGCTGGGGATCCGGAGCCGACCTCTGGGGGTCTGACAGTGATAACCGCTTTGAGAAGCCACGCATCGATGATGGGCTGCTGGAAGTTGTTGGTGTGACAGGCGTTGTTCACATGGTAAGCTGGCATCCCACTAAGAGCTGAGGAAACGTACATTTTCTCAGACAAGTTTAGTTCTGTAACAAACAGTGCATTGTAAGTGCTTAGTCCTAAGAAGTATGCATTGGTGTTAAGATTTAACCATCGTTTATTCAGGTACTTATTGTGTCATACAGAAGTGGTTATAGACCATAACCAGAATTAATGGGCAGCATCAGCCGTCTGTGAACGAGGGATTGAGGTGTTGAGTTCGGCTGCAGCTGTAATGCCTGTTAAAGAGTGCAGTGCACTCTCATTGCCTGTATGCTGGCCTGCCCTGAAGGTCCAGGTTGAAGTGCCATACTACAGTGGGTGCAGTGGAAACAAATCTGTGGTGGGGTAAGAATAAGTAATAGCAGTGTGAAGAACTTATTAAAAGTGGATGGGGAAATGCTTCATAACTTAAGCAGGTTTCTAACCAAGGCCAAGGCCAGAAATATGCGTGTATACATATATGTGAAAAGCAAACATACATATTTGCATATGCGTTATGGTATATACAAATATTATGGTGTCAAAGCCAAACAGTTCTTGGATGAAAACAAGGGTTTATTTTGATACTACAAAAGGTGTATTTGTGAAAATTCTTGTTATACCTGATCACAGTCATTTCCCCTAGACAGGCGGCTTTTGTAATTATCTGCCACAGGCTTTCCAACACCTGTCTCTGAGAATCTGATACTGCTCTTGATCCTGATGCTATGTGAAGCAGATGGCACACGCCCTTCTGCAAAGATGACTACGACTCAATTTGTGCAATTTTAATTCTTCCACTCAATTTGTGCAATTTTAATTCTTCCATTATTGCATATTTTAACAATGGCTTGCTAGTAGTGATGCAATCTTGTGAGGTGCTGGGTTGGTTTTGTCTTCATATTTCTTTCATTATACTAAGAAAACTGCTGCTTGAAAAAGTATATATGATCAGGCAAGTAAAGACAACTGGCCCATACAACCAGCGAGATGGAAAGGTGGGTGCTTAAAACTGTTCGTGCAGCTTGATCTTTGGTGTTGGCAAACTTCACCATTTTGTAATTTAGATCTTTTAAGAAAGGCAAATATAAAACATTCTATTAGAAGTAGTAGTTTGGTAGAGGTCCTTAAAATCTGGGTGAAATTAGAAACAACAAGGTGTGTACCCACTGCTCTGGAATATAAATGTTAACAAACCCATGCTCTGGTTTTGTGATCTTCTATTAAGGTTTTTACCTCCATGTTTGGTGTCTGTACAGGTTTCCCAAGAGAATGTGTAGCAGGAAAGTTCACTTTGCTTTGCTTTTTACAGTCAACACTCAGATGTTAATTGTAGTTGAGTATATATATGTAGCTGAGTACACAGTGTATATATATGTATATATATGTATGTATATATATATATATTTGGAGTTGAAGTTGGCAAAACTCTCTCTCACTGTTTGATAAAGTGCTTTTAGGCCTGAGTTTCAGATGTATGTGCTGGTCTGTCTGTATAGCTAGGTGTTTAGAAACTGTGTTTGCTATGTTATGGTGGGGGGAAATAAAAGCAAACAAGACCTTTGTGAGTGCATGCTCCTTGGCCAACCTGAGTGTACAGATGGCTTCACTGTGTAAGTTACTTTGCCAGCAGCAGCCCACAGGGGTATCTGCATTCGTCTTCATGCGCTAACTTAAAATAATGAACGCTGCAGTAAAGGCATCCTGTGCAGGTTTTGCCTAAGCAGTTCTAAGTAAAATAACTTACAATGTCAGGTGAGAGTAAAATTCTAACCACCCAAAAGTGTAGCTAATGTTTATGCTTCTGGTTTATTGGTGTGATTGATATCCTGGCTTTTACTTCCAAACAGGGTCAAGTCCAAGGTGGTTTTCGATCAGGCATCCGTATAGCCCAAGGCTCATATTTTCGTGTAACTCTCCTAAAGCCAATTCCAGTTCAAGTTGATGGAGAGCCCTGGATTCAGGCCCCTGGCCAGATTATAATTTCTGCTGCAGGACCAAAGGTACTGGCTGTAGATCTTTTTTAGCAAGTTGACCTTGTTTCTCCAGTGGATATTATCATATTACTGCTTATCGTGTTCTGATGCTTTACTGTAAAGGAGCTTGTTGTCACGGTATGGTCACTGTTGGATAGGTACATAGCAGTTTCTGCAGAGGACGATTTGAGGACCATCTCCACTGGCTCACATGAGGCTTGTGTTTAGAAAAACAGTCAGTCTAGTGACTTAAGTTTTTTACCCAGCATTGAGATCTCCAGGCAGCGTTGCTTGCCCTGAAGCAGACCACAGTTATGAGGGCCATCGCAGTATGCCATCTACAAGGTAGCAAGGTTGTGCTGGAGGAGGGAAGGTTTATCAGAGAGCAGCAAAGAAGGTGAGTAGCGGAGGAAGGGCCCGAGAAAAAGAGAATTTGGAGTAGTCATTGACTGATATACAATCATATCTAAATGTATATGTAGAAGGACAAGAGCATCAGCTACCTAAGAATTTAACTTCTCTATTGACTCTGAAATTGTGAAATAAACATTCTGCAGTAGCTGACTCCTGGTGCACAGTGGTGTACACATTTGTCTGCTACCTTAAGGATGCCTTTTCAACTCTCAGAAACAGGTTGCTGCTGTCAGTCTTGGGAAATGTGTAGCCCTACTGGGAGGGCTACCAAAAAAATGGCCTTTGCAGAGTCAAAATGGGTGAAAAAGAGGGCCACACCTCAAATGTTTTGCAGTATGTTAAACTTTGTTCTTTTCCTGAGAGAAAAAGGCAGAAAGAGAAAAATGAGAGAGAACATGCCTAACTGTCCTTCCAGTGAGACATATTTAAATCTATGAGGTTAGTGATTAATAGTGTTAATCTGTATATAATGTGTATGTGTGCACATGAATATATACGCACACAAATATGTACATTTATCTATATGCGTACACATACATGTGTGTATATGTTTATGGGAAAAAAAGTCACTTTATCCTGTAGCTTTTTAAGGATAGGTGCTCCTGATAGTTCTGTATTTAAATGCTTTTCTGTTGCAGTTCCAACATTTTACTTGTGTTAGTTGCCTTAGGTTTGCTTATAGGTGACTACAGATACTTAATTGCTCACTTTCATTTAAAACTTTCTATTTTAGGTCCACATGTTGAAGAAATCCAAGAAACAGAAAAAAACTGGAAGCATGAAAGAGATGCGAGGGGATATGTCCATCTCTGAAGGAGGACGCTAAGTGGAGACCTGTGCTCAGAAGAAATGCAGCAAACCTACTTTAGATACCAAGATGACTCAGTAAAACAGAGTGCAGACAGCTAGTGAAGAGAGTTGCTTATGAGCGTGCCTTTCATTACATTTTGATAGTATCAAGTTCTATTTTGTCTTTCAAAGATAGTGCCTCATTGTTAAAAATAACTGTTATATACCAGTTGTCACATCTGAAATGTTTACTTTGGGTTGCTTTTCCATAAGCTATTTCCTATTTTTCCATGTATATAGAAAGTGAGGCCAAACAGAAATTCCAGGACGCTGAGATTTCTGATCTACCTTTACAAAGACTCTTCCCCTCCTCCCAGCTTTTTCTTAAAGAAAACCATTCCATAGATAAATTTTGGTGCATTGTTCCATAACTTAATTCATGTTCCTCCCAGCCAGAAAAGGGCAAAGACATGAGCTGCTGAAAACTCCTTGGATCAGTCCAAACAGCAACGCTGAAACAGTACTACCATGAAGAGAAAAATACAAAACACAAGAGAGATGATTCTGTTAAGGGAGCCCTTTGCTGTGGGAGGACAGAAAGTACTAGAAAGTTGAGTCAAAATATGTCAGAGTTTAGTTCAACAGTATTTGGACAGAATGAATTAAGGGGAAACAGTTTGTAGAGCAAGTTTCCAGCTTAGTTTATCCTGTGTTATTCAGCCAAAGCCTATTTTAAAAGGCATTTGAATTTCAGCAGCTACGCTCCAATATAAAAGAGGAATGAGAACACCTGAGGTGGTATTACATTATATTGATGTTTTTCTGTCATTGAAACCATTAACTTTGATGCCAGACTTTTCTTCTTGTCTTTACTTGTGATTAATTTGTCACAGTTGGACTGTTAGTTAACAGCAAGCTAGAAGACTAAAAGAACCATCACTGATTAGGGTAAAAGAAGTACCATTTAGTGTTCACTTTAGTAAATGCGCACAGTCATATATTAGAGCTGAACCAAAGTATAGGGTAGCTTCACTGAGTAGCCTGAGGAGGTATTGAAGCCTGTAGTGTGTGTAACATGCTGTAGGCTTCAGGTAATTGGGAATGCAATAGCCGTTGTGAAAACTCACTCACCTTCTCAAGGTCTTGGTAGGTGTTGTTATCAGTGTGGGCCCAGGGACACAGTGACTGTCTTTTCTCGCTTCGTGTGTGTGTGCTTCCCAGAGGCCATTCTTCTGTCAGGTCCTGTGAGATAACCTCTCTGTGCTTACCATTTGCTGAAGATGTGGGGATCAGGTACTTCTTTTTTGTGGGGATCTAGAACAGCTTCCTGCTAGAGACTGGCATTAGAGTAGACATGCTGATATGTCATTCACTATTACATACCTGCTGTCTGTGGCCATAGTTTTGTTGGCCTTCACTCGCATCTCTGCTGGTCTCATCTCACTGTGGTTCTCTAGTGACTGAACCTGTCACTTCAGGTCAGCATCATACACAAGCAGCCCTCTGAGCCAGTTGTGCTGCTTGATTTTGCCACATGTGTGCATCTGCTGCTTGGAGCTACTTAAGCTATGTTGCCAAAACCCCATTCACTAACCAGTGGGCTTACTTGTCCTCTATAACTAATTTATCTATGGATGGTATGAATTGATCACTCAAGCTTTAGGAGCATTCCTCTTGCCAGTGCCTCTAGGAAAACATCTCCAGCTGCTTCAGGGGACTGCAGTATAACTCTGAAATACGCAAAAGCTGTTCTGTGTTGGAGCCAGTCACATGCTGAGGCAGTTCTTGGTGGGTCTTGCTCAGTACTCTAAGCACTGTGCCAGTTTCATCTACATATGATCAGTACCTGTGCTTTCTGCTTTCCAGTCACAGTGCAGACAAGTGTGTCGATGTACGTGCTGCAAGACAGTTATCTATAGCAACAGAATGATACAGCTAAAGCTATAAACAAACAGCCATGCAAAAATGATATCTGCCTGCAGCTTCTCCGTCGTGTTCAGTGATTCCTTCTGTTCTCAGTGTTCTAGTTGAGATGCATTTAGAGGACTGACTCCTGTTTTCGGTGAAGGGTATTAATTGTTAAAATTGTTCATTTAATTTTTAGGATGTTTTTCATGTTCACCATGTGGATTACATGTTATCTGTTTATACAGCATGCAAACTAGAGTCATGATATGAAGGAGATAGTGTGGATAGTATAGAGCTAATATCCTCACCTCCTTGTCATTAAACACAGAGTTGTCTCTGCTTCAGAGCCTGGGCATGAAGGATCAGCTGGAGCTCTTCTGGCATCCTGGTACCAGCATTACAAATAAGAAGGGTAAACTGTTGTATTTCAGGGTATGCTCTCTCAGGATGAAGCTCACAAATTAGAGAGGAAATGTGAAATTGATTGCTGCTTGTAATTGTCCAAAAAGCTAGAGAAATTGCTTTGTGTCCTCAGGGCAGGAGAAAGAATGCATGGTCTTTTTTCCAGTGACTGACTCAGTAATGGAGAGGAAGACTTGACTTTCTGTTACAGAAAGCATGTGTAAGCTTTCAGCTTTCTGGTACTGACCATTTTCTGCAGCCTAAGTAAATCAACCTGTCTTACTGTTTTTCCAGACATACAGAAGCCTGCAGCAGACCATGTTTCATGTTCTTGGCTCATTAAGGACCTTGCTCTCTCTCCCTTTTGCTCAGTATCTGTTATCTGAAATAACATGAAACTTTTGGGTCACGGTATTTTAATCAGAGGGCCCCTTACTGTGGCATGTCCTTCCATGGGGGTTTTCCAGGTCTGGAACACTGCACCAGCATTGGGTCAGGTAGTGTCGTCATAGCAAGGTGACAGAATGGGTTCCCCACATGTTGTTTCAGCAGATGCCACACTGGAATGAAAACATGTCTTAAGAAAAATACACTTAGCATTTAAGGTCTCTGTGCATCATAAAATAATGCCTGGTATGTTTTGAAGACAAAACAGATTCCTGGGCAGTTTAGACAGAAAAGCTGCTGTAAAGCTTTTAAAAATGAGAAACTCAATATTTAACCCCTCTATTAAGATGTTCCTGTTTCAGGTAGTGTAAAGGCCTGTATACCAAGGTATATTTTTTTCTTACATTTTCATCACATACAGTATCTGAGAAGGTCTAGTATTTTCCTCCATAGTATGTTAGACTTCCTTGAAGAGAGGAGGTAACTCTTTGCAGTTAATATGAAAACATCTTGACTTATCCTTTACATTGAGCAAAACAGTGCCATATAATTTATGTGATAGCGGGCAGATAACTTGATTCTTAGCACTGAATCTTTGAGTAACATCGTGTGAGAACCTAGCAGTAACTTGTCCAAGTGCTTTAAATAATACAGTAACAAAAGTGCTGGGAAGAGGCTTGATTCTGTCAAGATTAAGTGTCAATCAGCACCAGGGACACAGGACCAGGAACCATAGTCTACAGACAAGGATGAGACACAGGGCTATTGCTGTTCTCAGCACACTCTCTGCACTGCCGTGCCCTTTACTTTTCATGTAAACTGTGGCAGGCACAAGACAGCACAGCTAGCATCTCCTACTGAGATACGAGCTCCAGACCTTTTGCTAGTGTCCTATAATTCTTTGCTAGCATGCGGGAGAGAAGGGTCCTGAAAACCATGCTGCATTTCAGATAGCCCACTACTGCAAAGAGAAGGTGGTCAGCTGGTTAAAATCTGTTTCAATGGGTAAACACATTACCTCTGTCTTGAATCAGAGCCCAAATTCGAAAGTTCATTACCAGGATACAGGGGCTACTTCAGAACATTTGCTGCTTTTGCACCATGGCTTTCACACTTTATTTGTATAGTTAAAATTGATACTTTTAATTGCATTGATTTTGAAATTAAACTGTTGTTACTTTGCAAAAAACTTTTTCATGTGCACATGAAACACACCCTTTAAAAATAAGCCTTATTGTATTTCCTTTCACAGTGCCTACCTGTACAGCTTTTGCTGCATTACAGCATTCTGATAGCACTTACTTCTGGATCTTTCTCTCACTAGTTTTGAACAGGAGGCAGAGCTTGCTCTCTTCCTGCTCCCACTGAGGTTCCCAGCACATATTTCTAATGAGCATGTGCTTTACAATAAGACATGATGCCAATATAGTGAAAGCACAACTGTGTTTATAGTAGAGTCTCTGCACGTGCACTGTTTGAGCTCTTCTTGCTCTTTTAGATTTTGATCAAGTCTCTGCATGTCTAATGGCAATGGCTAGAAGAAGCTGTAGCATAATTCACTGCAAGACTTAAGAGAGAAACCTAAATGAACTGGTATAGACAATTGTTCATTAATATTCAGTTACCCTCTTACAGGTATTGTACAGATTGCATTTATTTTTATTTCAAGAGCAAATATACAATATACTCACTTTCAAAATATCAGCTGTTTGGAATTGCTAAGCATTTACGCATGCACGTTAGTCTGCAATCTGTTGGCATATAAATGTGACATTATGAAATGAAGCCTCATTTTGTGGGAGAAGGTAAGAGGAGCTGTTGTGACACTTTAAAAGGACTTATGTCACTCAACAGATTTAGCTGCATAGGTGTTTTGTAACGTACTGACTGTGCGCAGATACACCCTGTGCAGCACAGCCAGCAATCCATACGCCAGCAATCCATACACCAGCACTGATACTGGGGATGTGCTGGAGGTGTGCACTTGAACGACCTGGCATTTGATACTCTTTTCAGTCTGAGTGTGTCTCATATCTCTTCCTTACAACCTTCACAGTAGCTGTGCTTTTCATCTTCTGCTAGGCTGACTCCCTGTCCTTTTGGCCCAGCCTTCATACTGAAACTGGTAACAAAGGCGGGAGTCTGTGGTGGTGAACGTGCGTGGAGAGCAGGGGAATGGACATCCTGCTCCAGAATATGGCCCTGGTGTTGGGCTTAGATTGTTGGTTAGTTTCTCCTTCAGCTTCTACTTCAGCCATTTAATAGCTCTGCAGCAAAGACTCAGCAACTATTGAACTACCTTGGATTCCTAGTGACAAGCATTGCCTCATTTTCAGGCTTTGATCTTATCTGCACCAGGGAACGTGTCACTTCCTACAGGTTTTGCACTTAACAGAAAATGCAGGTTAGATAGGCTTAAGGTGTGGCAAAATTGCAGTGTTTGTATTTTTTTGTAGATATGGGGATGATTCTACAGATACAAAGATGCACTTTCAGGTAAGGATGAAAACACATTTGTAGAATGCAGCTGTTTAGGACTTTGACTGCAGCATTCCTTGCTTTATATCGTGTCCTCCTTGAAAGCCTGCTTGGGAATGAGAGATGGTATCTTCCTCCCATCGCAGTATATATTTATAACTGACTGACTGAAAATTCATATATATATTTAAACAGTTGCAATTGGCTGCTACTCGTAAGATTTACTTTTATTAGACTGATATTATAATGCATAAAAGCAATGTTAAAGTTTTATATATAATGTCAACATATACTGATTTGACACTTGGCTTGCAGGAGTGATCCAGCTTAAAGCCTTCATTCTTTTTTGCTAGTTAATGTAATTAACAGTGTAGCTGTTGTATGTGTGCAGTGAAATGAGTGCAAATTACTAATCTTACCCTGCAGTTAGACCAGCAGTTTCAATGTTTACAGGAGAGTGACTATTGATTGTAAGTAAACCCATACATGCTTATTGAAACAGTACGGTCTCTCAGTGTTTTGGAAGCATTGTTTGTGCTTCCCATGACAATTAATGAAAAAATTGCCTTCTGGTTTAGATTCCTGGTTATATCCCTTTGGAGAGATTTAAATGGGGATTATGACTTTTCTGCCACCCAAAGGACAGAATTTCTACTGACACAAGAGTTGTACTGAACATGTTTTCTGAAAGATTGCCTTTTTTTTTTTTTGTGAAGATAATTTATGAGCATTCAGTGTTGCTGAAGAAGTTGGTCTGAAGTCTTGAAATAAACGTGTAGATATTAAACATTTATCCCAAAGCAAACTATTTTTTAATTGGGCACAGTTACTGGTGCGGGTTATCCCTGTGATCTCTCCTAGCAACACACCCACGGGAGTGTGCAGAGCTCCTGTGTGTTACTTAAGAGATGACTTGATTGCAGAAGATGTGGGTTCATTTACATTGTGTGTGTCCCGTATCACTCCTCTGGCAGCAACTCCTAATTACAGACATGGGGTGTAGAACGCAGAACCTCTTCCCCATGCACATCACCGCAAGTGAAAGAGCAGAGAGGCCGCCTGTGTGCCTGGCCACAGGGCTGTCTGGCACTTGCAGTCCTCTCCCTGTCCACACGAAGGGTGCGCCATGCATTAGTCAGTCCTTTTGCTTTCGGATGGAAGGAAGTTGCAAATCAACATGTTGCCCATGTGATCAGTTACCAGCTTGCCTCGCTGTGGAATCCCTTTCTTTGTGCTGCTGACCTTGCCAAACTGGGTAGGCAAGAGGTGCTTGAAGAGTTACTATTTATTGTGTATTTTTTAGGTGCTTATAAAGCCTTCACTGCTATTTTAAAGCAAAAATCGGGGGATCTGTAGCACAGCAATAGCTTTATAACTCCAGCTTTCTGAACATGCCAAAAGCAAGTTATCCTTAGGATACTTTAATTAGCAATGGTGCACATAGTAGTAATCATTACCTTGAAGCTGTACGTTCTGATTACTGAAAGAGAGCATCTCTGCTTTGAATGTAAAGCATCACAGAGTTTATAAATCACTGTAACATCCTGCATACCCATACATCACCCATCACATCTTAAGTCTTCTCAAGCTGCAGCTGCAATATTGCTTAAATAACTGTGTTTCTCACTGCTGATTATTTAAATAGCCCAACTTTAATAAGATACTGTGTCTTAAAGCATTTCCTGTGAATGTTCTAATACATTGGTAATAAGTCGTGTTGGCCCAAAGAGATAAGCTGACCATAGAACAGTTCAGTTATTGTCCAGTGCTTTTTCTTTGTGCATCTGCCTAATAATTCTCAGAAAAAAAAAAAGAAAAAAAAAAGCCTAAGTACAAGCATTAAAGTGAAAACTGTTTCCATATTGTGTGCCTCAAACCAGTAATGCATTATCACATGTGTTTACTTGGGGACTGGTCTCAGAAACAGGCTTTTAATGATGTAACTTGTTTCTTAATGTCTGCCTTGCAAATGAGACACATCACTATGCTGTGGTAACTTGTCTACAAATAACATACTGAGTGTACTAATTGGTTTAAAAAAAAGTAATTTATAAAAGATGAATTTTTCTCTTCTATTTAAACATCTGTTTGTCCTTGGGTTATGTTCTTAGCACAATTCTGTATATATTTTGCAATACGTGTGTTGTGTTTGATTGTACATTTTGCACTTGAAATTCTGTATTCTAAGTAATATTTACAAGCTCCAGAGATCTGTAACTAGAGTTTGTGTGTGAAAAATACAACATCTCTTCTATCCTGGATGTCTCTGGAATAGTCGTGCTATAAAAAACAGTGAAATACACTTCTGCAGAGACAAACATCTGTCAGCTGAGCACTACATTTATCAGTATTCTGTAGCCTTGACGTTCGAGACCATGTCATGCTTCCTGAGAGGAGCATGTGTTACTTTATAGGTTTTCATTTTTAAGATGACTTCTACACACTAAGTTTGACCCTTACAAGATTCAAACACTTCTTGAACCCTTATTTCTGTGGGTAGCGCTTATGGTAACTGGTAAAATCTGTAATAGCACTGTAGTGTGTTTTGGTTTGTGAGTTACTCTAATGATGATACAGATTTTCCAAGGTAGTTTTGTGCAATTGCTTGCCTTATTTGCACTCCTGTGTGGAAACACGTGGCCTTGTGTTTTCAGGCTGTTTTCAGGGAACAGCACCATGCATGTTCCCCACTGTGCTTGGCTCAACTGAGCAGTGGTGGGCCTCGCCTGCACAACCCAAGGACCAGGGCCTGTGAACCTTGGAGGGAGTCAGCTGGGGCAAGAGGAATGGCTGTCTACAGAGCTGAGCCCAGATGGAAGCTCAGCCCCACTGGGGGTGGACATCCCATCCCTCCCTGGAGGGCAAGACCCATCAGTTCCTGCTCTGCCTCTCAAGGCTGATGGGTCCATCAGCTTGACACCTCCATGTGGTATATCTCTGCTGCAGAAACCCTTCTGCCTTGCAGCAATTGTTTTTTCCCCACCCTGTTAACAATCGATTGCAGAACAGGGACGGGTTTGTTTTTGTCCTAGCATCTCGGAGTACATTACTGTTCCGTGCTGGGCTGCAAATCAAGAAGTTCCGAAGCAGCTATAACTACATTTAAAAAAGATACATAGAAAACCACTTCAAGACTGCTGTTCTGGGAGAAAAGGGGAAGCAGAGGGGAAAAAATGCTCCGCACAATAGATCCAAACCTTGAAGTGTTCATGATTTAACAAAGCTATAGGTGTACTAGCTTGCCTTAAAAATGGAAGAAAAGTTGCCCTTTCTTTGTTAACTGGGAAAAGCAAAGTGGCACTTACACTTTTTCAGGTCCTAGTGGTGGTACATGCTGCTCCTCACATTGCATGCACTTCAACTGTCACATGTGCAATCCAACACTGTTTCAACTAAAGCAATTACAGGACCCAGCCAGGCTGTCCAGTGGGTAAAACACTGCAGGTCTTGGGTTCACTGTGCGTGCAGATTGTGGTGAAATCCTCCCAGTGCTGCAGGTGGGCTTGTGGTGCATCTTTGCAAGACAATAGCATGCAGTGCAATAGGTAAACTTTGTTTTTCAAGCTGCATGACCAAGACATTCATCCTTGGACACAGTCCTAAAAGAGGAAGAGAGTGTGATCTAATTCTCCATACCTGGGAGGAAGCAGGCAGTGATGAAGTGATCCTCCTCTTTAGCAGAGCACTGCTAGAGGCTCTAGCATTGACATCTCGAAGTGGCATGCTGCCCCACAACCTGCCCCCAGGAGGCAGCCAGTAGCCATACGCTGTGGGGCAGGTGCCATGTGAAGCTTCCTGTAAAGTTGCTTAGTGAACATAAAGGCACATCCTCAATCCTACCCATCTCAGGGAGTCCTCAAAGCCTTTACTCAAGCCTAAATGAGAGTGCTCTGTCAACGGGAAGAGGAAAAGAAGGAGAGGAAATGCAAATGGAGGAGCTTCCTAGCTGAGGCTCCAGAAATTCACTGTGGGAGGGATTCAGGGAACAAGGGATTGTTTGAGCAGCCAGAGGGTTGCATCCCATGTTTAAGTACACTTGAAGTGGCCTGTGGTGGAAAAAGTACCAGGTGAAGTAACCTGACATCTCAGGGTGAGGCACCATAGGCTTCAGTTGAGGATTAGTATCTTCATAGTTCAATATGCATCCAGGAACTCAGGTGCTTTCAGGATGCCATGATGTTCTGCCTATACTGATGATGACTGGCCAGGGAATTTTATGCCTGCCCTCCTCTGAGCTTGAGAGAACAGCAAGGATCTGGTTTGCAGGCAGAGTGGATGATTTCCAGCAGTCCCTTCCCTCCTGCTCTTGGAGGCTTGTGCCTTGCAATGTGGCCATGCCACATTCCCATCAAGGGGAACCAGTGTTTCCGGGAAAGTACTGGCCCCACAACAAATCCCAGTTTGACTTTCAAGCCGATTCAGTCACCAGCTAGACAAATACACTTTGAAGCACAGCTAAGCAAAAAACCTCTTAGACCAATGATTGAGTCAGTAAACTGAGAGACATCTGGGGGCATTCTGGACATCAGATTGGCCATCAGAGGACAACTTTGGCCCTCTGAAACAGATGTGTTCTTGTGAAGAACTGGTGGGCAGTAGCATAGAGGGGATTCCTCCCGCTGGGGCTGCATGACCAAGTGCTGGGACACATGGTGGCAATGGCTGTGTTTCCTCATTCCCAGGACCAGCCTGTTGCAAACAACCCAGACATACAGCAGCCTTTGCAGACGCTCACATACAGGCAAAAGCAGCATCAACATGAATAATACAAATGGGCCAACCCTGTGCCTTCTCACCAACTAATGAGGTTCAAAATTCACTACTGAATTAATCTTTGTTCCTCTCAATTTTCCCAGGCCTCTCTTGTAACTGGCACTATACTCTTGGTGCAGACGAAAACCAGCTTAAAATTCTGCTAGGGGATCACAGAGAGAGAAGGAAAATGAACAAAAAACCAGTTATAGACAGAGTTTAATGAGGTAGAACAGCCTGCAAGGATCAGGCACAGAGTCTGGCCAGACAAATGCTCTGACCAGGAGCCTGCTGATTTGTAAATACAAGCCTGCCTTTGTAGTAAGAGGGGGTCAGGGCAGGAGCCAGAAAACACACCCAGAAAAACTGCACACAGACAGCACCTCAAACCAGACTGGGACATGGGATAGGGACAAACTTTGTCCCCTCTGGGTTTCCCTCACCCACCCTGTGCAGGCAATCAAATTGGTTACTTACCACAAGCAGCTACTCTCACATCAAGTGCTGGCCCTGCTGCTGGAGCAGTGCCCCGGCTCTTTGATGGCCACCCACAAAGCTGGTGTGAGCCCACCATTCCCAGGGATGCTGCTCACACCTCCGCTCATCTGCACACTGCTTTGAGGTCAGGACCTCATGGCTCAAAGTGGCCTTTCCCTCCTGCAATGCCCAAAGCACAGGCAACTACAGCAGCTCTGGGAGCACAAAATAACCCCAGCAGCAAGGACATGAGCCATGGGTCTTGACAGTCCTGCTTCAAACTGGTAAGTTGAAATAAACTAACCCATTTTCATGTGCCACTACACAACCTGATGTTGAAGGCCCTGTTCACACAGCTATCTGTCACAACAGGATGGCTTGGCATCCTCTCATCCGCAAATATAAACCATGGAGCAGAGCTGGTACTAGGTGTCCTACAACTCTCATAAGCCACAGTCCCCACAGCTGCACCCTGATATCTCTGGTCCAAGCAGAACTCCTGGACACCGAGGAAGCTGTCTGACAGCGTCTCAGCACATCTGCAACCAAAGTGTGAAAACAGACCTCAGTAGGAGATGCCAGAACTGAAGAGCCTCCGTCAGAGCCTCCCTGTTACACAAGGGAGACTGCTTCAGTCAACTGGGAGATGCCTTTTCTCCTGCATTCTTCCACCTCAGCTTCCCAACCTTTGATTCCCACTGAAGGACTTCCATGCTCCTCCTAACTCCTTGTCACCCATTCCCTTTCCACTCCTATGTCACCACTGTGTATGGCTTGCCACGTTTGCTATCCTCCAGCAACATTTAACCCTTCCCCTTCCCCCCCCCCGAGTTTTTTGGGGTTTATATGAACCCTGTGTGGATTTTTTTGCAATCTCTTCAAGTTTTTAGCTGTGCTGTGTCAGCAGCTCAGGTCATAAACTTCAAACTGCAACCTGCTAAAAGGTGTCCAAAGTCTGTGTTACATCTGCCTGTTTGTTATAGGGAGCTGCTTTAGTTTCTGTTAATTATAAATATCTTTCGGGATGTTTGCCAAGTTTCATGCTAAGTGCTGGCACAAAACAAATCCGTGCCATTGAACTACTAAAACAGGGACCTGCACTCTGGCAGTTGTTTTTTATATACGAACAAAGCTATTCCCTGCTGAGCATAGCTTTGTGATTTTGCTGTCAACTGCACTCGCTGCTAAACTGGAGGTTGCTGCCCTCTTGCTTTCAGACTGAGGATAGCAAAACCCACCTCTGAACCAGGAAAGGCTTTCAGGAGCCCCTGCCCAGTTGCTCGATGTGCCACTGCTGCAGGTTAAAAATTATTGTAAGAGAAATTGTGTGCTGTAGTTATGCAAAAATGCTTATGCTATAACTGGTTCACTGACAAAAAACCTTGTTCTGTTTCTTTAAAATCATCCTCTTCCAAAACTATCATCAGTTCTGGGAGGACAAGAAAGGCAGTAAAGGTGGGGTGCTGAGGGCACAGGTTTCTGTAGCTCCTCTCTCAGCGTCTCCAAAGCTTTCTTTGATGGTCCCTCATGCTGCCTTCTCCACAGTACCTTTCTCCATCCGCACCACAGGGTGTTTCCCTGCACCAGGACATGTTGTTGAACCCAGACACCCACCACACATGTTGGGAGCAGCAGTGGTGCCATGCCATGCTGCAGTGTGGAGAGCGTGGGGCAGCCAGCTGCTTCTGCTCCTACCCAAGAAGGAAGCGGGCAACAGGGCTGTCCCTAATGGAGACAGAAAGCTGAGCCTCCTCCCAGCAGTGTCCCCAGAGGCTCCTGCTTTGTCCTGCCCTGCCAAGAACTGTTGCTGCAGGAGCAGCAGGAAGGTGTGGGTACCATTCCCCTCTGGAAGGGGGCACAAATACTGGGGAAGCATTGGCAAGCTCTGCCCTGGGGGTGACCCACATGTCCATGTGTCCACACAGAAAAGGGAACAAGGAACATAGTCCCTGGTGGGGCATGGGGAATTTGTCTCTGAAACCTGCCTGCAAAGGGACACAGGGCACTCCAAGGCATGGCCCAGCAGCCAGGGCCATGGTGCTGAGCTTGAGGTGAGCTGGAGGAACAATGTGCCACACAGCAAAAGGGTCCAGACTGCACAGCATTCAGCACATGGAGATCATGGCGTGTCACAGCGTAAGGACCAAGCATAGCAGCCAGCAGTGGGGAACAAAGACCTCAACAGACCAAGAGCCAGGTCCCAGGGGCAGAGTCAGCACCATCTCAGCAATCAGTCTCACAGTGCTTGGCTTGAAGGGGACCTGGAAGGATCTGTGGAACAAATCTCTCCTGCACAGCTGGAAACGTGGCCCTTCTCCCCTCTGCACAGCAGCCTCCTCAGCCAAGGAGGGCACAGAGCTGCTGACAAGTTCCTCCCCTGCAGCCTCACCCAGCTCACCCAGGAGCAACAGAACGGGGGCAGCTCAGTCCAAACTCACGTCATTAGACCTGTGCTGCACACAGAGAGGCCCATCTGGAGCCTCCAGACAACTCCTGGGTGCATCGCTCCCCTCACCTGCCACATGCAGCACATCTCTCTTCCCTGGCCTCTGCCTCCGAACCCTCTACTCTTCATAGGTCCATTGCCAGCTCCTCTGGCTTCCTCCCCTCTGCCACTGCTCCCCTCTCACCCATCTCAGCTCCACAGCCTGTGGCTCAGGCAGAGAACAGCCACAGCAAAGGGCACTTTGGGGAGCAGCAGGAGGGCACAAGGCCGTGCTACCAGCCAACAATAAACCGAAACCTGACATGGCTGCTGCTCCCACGAGAGCTCTGAGCACATCCTCATCTCCCCCCTGGCACCCAGAGCCCTGGCGCACACAGGGCACATGAAGGCAACGGGCACAGGACACGTCTGCTTTTTGGGGTTGTTCCAGAACAAGGGGCACCGCAGCAGGATTAACCCATCCCTCTGCTCCGTGCCCCTGCACAGCTCCACCATGGTTCCCATTCAAGGCAAAGCTGGAGGCTGGCTCACAACCCAGCCTGGTGACCAGCACAGGATTACTGCCACAATCACGGCTCCAGCGCACTCAGCGCAGCCACAATGAGGGAGCAGCAAACGCTTTCTCACCACCATCAGCTGATGGCCCTGGGCGGCCCAGAACAACAGAGCAGAAAGCTGATGGGGCAGCACTGGCTAAGCCCCCCCGGATTAGACAGACTCAAAGGGGCTGAAAGCAGCGTGTACCACTAACCCAGCACAACGGCAGCTCCAGCCCTCGCCTCTTCCACCCAGACACAGGCAGGCAGCTGCTGGCTTCCAGCACCCCAAGAAGGGTCCCAAACACCAACGCTGCCAACAAGAAGTGGAGAGGTAAAGAGCAGCCACCTGCAGACAGCCCCAACCCTCAACACTCTGCATCGCTCGTCACTACACACAAACCTCCTCCCGCGCTCCATTGCACTGGCCACAGCAGCCCACTCCTGAGCCTGGGGATCAGCAACCTCACCCCTCCCTTGGAGTGCCACCTTTGCCCACGCTGCTCCCCAGAAGACACGGGAGCAGCCAAGAGCATAGGGTGGCTATGGCAGCATCCCAAAGGCAAGGGGCACCCACCTCCCTCTTGCCTTCTGACCCACAGTCCAACTTCAACTTCTGCAAGGCAGGTGCCTCGATTCCCATGTTTCAAAACACACTGTGGGCATGGCACCGTCCAGAGTCCACCACACTTCCTTTCACCTCACGCACACACATACACTGACCTGTTGACCACAGTAATGTGTCTCTGCATGGGCATTTCTTTAGGTGGTCCACTCCCAGCAGCTGGTGACAAGGCGAGACGGGCACTCTCCACAGTGGCTTTCACCACGCCACCCGCCACTCCTCTGCTTCGTGCCAAGCGAGGAACAGGCCTCTTGCTGCCTTCTTCTGGCACGCTCAAAGACCTGGGCTGTCTCAAAGTTCCTTTGGGCTTCCCTAAGGAGTTTGCAGATGTAGCTGTGAGTTCATGCCCTCCTCCACCCAACCCAAACAGACTTCAAGCACAGCAGGTAACTCTCCCACAGAATCCATTCTTCTCCAAAACACAGGTAGAAAGGATGCTCTCAACCACGGTTTTGGGTCTCCTTGATTCAGCACCATGGCTCACACCCAAGGACTTACAATCTCCATCACTGCACTGCAGCATGGAAAGAGACTGCAGACACATCTCCCCTTACACTCTCAGAAAAGACACTTACTGTGAGATGCCACATCCTTTCACCTTCCAGGTGTGACCATGGTCAGGCTGCTCTTTCCCACCCCTTTCCTTCTGGAAGGAAGCGAACCCCTCCTTACACACAAGAACAGGGGAACACAAACAAACTATGAGGCCCACTGCTGCTGCCAGCAATGCTGCCTACTCGCAAGCAGATGGGCCTTGTCTGGGCCTGATGCTGGGAGATGCCACTGGCAGCAACACAACAGCAGGGAGCGAAAGACCCAGAGGCTCTGGGAACACACCGCTGCAGCATCTTACTTGCTCAAGAAGGGCTTCCTACCCATCAGGGCTTGCAAGCACAAGCGCCCTCATCAACAACACTCCCTGCTCCCAGGATCTCTTCACCAGGACCACACAATTCCTGGCCATTACTGACACAGCCTCATGGGGAAGACTTCTGCTCCAGCAGCTGCACACCCCTTTCACAAAGGCAGACCCTTCACTGCTGCCTGCAGCTCACCTGCCAGCTTGACTGGAGACGTGTTCTTCAGCCTCATCTGGCAGTTCACTTGCCGTCCCGTCTTCCTCTTGGAACTCCTCTGCCGGGCCACCAGCTGAGCAATTGGCTCAGTCTCGCTGCAAGCAACAGCATGGCAAATGACCTGGGGGAGCAGGAAGAGGACAGAGGGAAAGCAGTCAGTAAGGCACAGGCTCATCCACAGCCTGCACAAGGATTTCCAGCCACTTCCATGCCTCAAACTGCTGCATCATGCCAGCCAAGGCTTCAGCTGACAACGAAGACTTGGAGACCTCTCTTGGAGACCTCCCTCTCCTTTTGCAGCAGAGATCAGCAGAGCAGCCAGCAGAGCCTCTCGGTCACCTTCCCACAGGAGCTAGGGCCCCACCAACAAACAGCCTGCTCTCTCACTCCCATCCCACAGCCTGACCATCTTGCTTTACAACACTGGCAAGCCTTTCAGCCTTTCGCTTTGCCATTGCTCCTCCTGCAAAGGCTCACCAGGGCCCTGGCACGGCCCTGACCCTGAAGGGGGGCCTCTGCCCCACTGACCCAAGAAACAGCACAGTACCTCTGGCTGCACAGATTGTCCCACAGTCACTGCGCTGGGCCCCAACAACAGCCCAACCTTGGGCATGCCCATGGCCACCTCCCTGGTCTCCTTCATGGTCTCTTGCCTCAACCTCCCCTCACTGCGGCCCAGCATTGCTGCCACAGGCCATCCACTGAATGGATGCAGGAACCCTGCATTGGCAACCCCCCAGAACACACACACAGTGTGCAGTTTACCTCACAGAGGAGATGTGAGCCCAAGCTTTTGAGCCATTCAACTGGCAACAGCCTGTAAGGGAAGCTGGATGCATTTTCCTCCAGGGCTCCAAGGACACAGGCAGACACACAAAAATCCCTGAGTAAAAAATGAGAGACTGTGGTCTCAGGGACTCTCCATGTGGGCCTCGGCCATGCACAGTGGTGGCGGTACCGGCTGGAAAGGGGGCCCTCAGGTACAGCACTGTTACCCTCATCACCATGGACCCCAACAGGCACAAGGGTTGACAGCTCAGCGCAGGACAAACTCAGGCACCTGGCCAGCACCAAACAGCAGCAACAATCTTTGCTCTCAGGGCAACCAAAGCAGAAAAAGCAAGTGCCAAGAAAAAAGCAAGCAATTGCTAAGCAGCAACCACTTGCTTCGGAGCTATCCTCAGTTTTCAGGCTGACCCAAACAGCCCCGGGAATTATGGGCAAGGGATGACAAACTTCAGCAACAACTCTTGCCCCCCAGCAGTGCTCATCCTTTCCCTCCTCTTACTCCTCTGCACACCCAGCATCTGCACTGGGCTGGCTCAACATACAGCCACTGGAGGGAGGCCCTCTCCTTGCGAGGAACAGCTCTGCAGCCCGAGGAGCTCCTGCTTAGGAATCAGACAGCCTATGTGCCGTGCAGTCAACACCTATGCAAAAAGCCTGCCAGTGGTGTCAGAGCTTGGATGGGCAGTCTTGCCTGTTCTTAAATGCAAATCGGCACATAGCAGATATGTAACATCACCTGGGGAGCCAAGAGCCCCTCTTCTGTCTCAGTGATTCACAGAGATGCTCCAGACATGCCTAGGAGCAGTCTCAGGCTGTGACAGCCCACAATTTCACTCACCAGCCCTGCTCAGTGTCCGCCCCTCCGCACTCCTTCAGCATGTGTTTCAGTAGGAAAAGGCCTTGGCATATCTGAGACTGTTGTCTAAAGATCCCCTCAGACAGGAAGATGCTGTGTGTGTGATCCTGTAGCACATCCTCAGACAAGGGGACATGGTTTGGTGTGACCCTCCTGTGTACAGACCACACTTGTCTGCCATGCAGGCCTTTTGCCCTGCTGAGCAGTTCTGTATCTGTCAGATCCCATATAGCCATATGCACCAAGAGATTCACAACAAAATGCAGAGTATCATGTCTATTATTCAAAACTAATAGCTTCAGCAGCCATTTTATCACTGCCATCCTGCTGCTCTGGGCCCCAAAATAATAATGGTCTGAGCTGAAAAGCTCTGCAACACCCATCACTCATACTGATCCACTTGCTCTTTCTACAGGAGCTCTGATACCTCAAGGCATAGGATTGCAGTCTGTCCCCAAAGCCTTGCAGTAATTGTTGTCTAACAGGACAGTCTTGATGTTGTCCCCACGCACATGCCTATGCCTTTTTTATGGTCATCTCAGCGAGTTTTGTAGTCCTCAGGCACATCCCAAATTCTCTGTGCCACCTTTTAGGTGGTCCCCAGACCCAACAGGCCAATACTTTTCATGCAGCCATGAAAAGTGGAGGGCCTGAACCTGCATTTTACTTTTCTTAATTACATTTTATCGACTTTTAATTATCCATTCCATTACCTCAAAAAAGTCTGGTCTCTATATTTTACACCTATTTTACAGTTGTATTTAATTTATATACCCCTGTAAGAATGTATCAACACATCTATATATAAATAAAAATGCATATTACTCTACTCCTTCACACACATATTTCTAACTATATACATATTGTGTGCATTGTATATAAATGTATATATTTTTGTATCTGACCGCTTCTTGGTACCAAGAAAGAAAGGTTGCAACACTGAACAAAATGGCAGCTACCTCACACAGAATGGTGGCATTTACCTGCCAGGAGGTGAACAGAGCTGCAGAGAGTGAGAAGAAGTAGTGGTTAGAAGAAAAAGACTCAGGAAGTCCACTGCACCTGTGTGGACCCACTCACTGTGGATATATTATGTGCTGGACAAATGTACACATCTCAACTCAGTATTAAAGGTTTGATACTAAAAGCATTCAAAGTCCTCTTCTGCATTTGTGTGCCCATCACCCGTGCTGCAGTAGTGAGAGCACCTCATGAACACTGCAGCATTAAGGGAAGTGTGCCAACCATCACTGCCCTGCTGCTGACAGCAGTGTTGGGTACCTGCCCTGCTCTAGGCACGGGGTTTAGCCCTGTGTGCTCCAGTGAACGTCAGGAGTTATGGGGCTGGGGAAAGGAGCTGCTCCCACAGCTGTGTCGAGTGCCCTTCCCACAGCAGGAACCTCCTGTCAGAGGAAGGTGGTGTACCTGATTACCAAAGTACGTAAGGGCACTGTTGCAAAATGTGTTTGGTCCAGGTTTCTGTCTCAGTCCCGGAGATGTGAGAGACTGCTCCCTGGGTGAACTTGTGCATACACCTGCTCGCACTGACAGAGGGCCACTGCAGCCTTTGCAAATCAAACCTTACCTTAACCTCCAGGCATTTACTGATTTTCTTGGGTGTGTTTACTGAGAACTGTGAAAACATTTCAATGTTGTGGGCAAATACAGGGCCCTGTATACTGTGTAGTAGTGCTCGATACTACCCAAGATGGTGAGATCTCCCCCAGGTTTCCATTGCTCTTCCGCTGTCTGCACAGGGCTAAGGAACATACAAAGTGTAACTAAATCACTGTGAGCAAGTAACTGTTTGTATTTGTTCCCCATTTTAGGCTTGGTCTCCAGCAAGAGCATGCTGCACAGCTGAGGGACTTGCACAAACAGATGTATTCCCAGAGTTCAGTAGAGCAAGACAGCTCACCAAGCTGCCCCTGCCTACCCCCAATTATCCCAGCCACCAGACCATGGTTCAGGCGAGGCTGAAGGCAAGCTTTCCCAACTCTGTGTCTCGTTTACCAACAGCTGAGAAGTGTCCAGGAACACTTTCCTGAACTGCCTCTCAGCTGCTGAGGTTTGCATATTGCAAGCATCCTCTGCAGTCTGCCTGAGTTACTCCCCATCTCATGCTCATCTTCTAGGAAAGCACTGGGAACAGGAGGTGAAAGTGTCAAGCTTCTGCTCCATGCCCAGGGCTTCACTACCATAACTGTGTAGACATGCCCAGAAGAAACAGAAACAATTACTGGGCTGCCTGGTGTGACTCACAAAGAAGCAGCTCTGTTCCCAGCAGCAGTCCAGGTTTTATCTCCTCATGTTCATCAGGATAGCAAACTTCAGGAAAAGTTTAAAGAACGACCTTAAGCAGATCAGTATAGCCCTAACTACTGTAACTGTTAAAATAATGCAGCTTGTGAGCTTGTGCATGCATTAGCTCTGTTTAATGCTATCACCATATGATTTCTGTAACAGGTATTTAGCTTATTTTGCACTTTCCTGTAGAGCCATGTCATTTTCTTAGCATAGGACTTTGCATGCTGTGGCTCCATCTACCTGGTGCAAACACCACAAACCGAGGCAAATGACAGGAGCTGAGCTACCTGTCCTGCCAGAAGAACCTCTCTCCACAGTGGTTTTACCTTCAAGTTCCATGTATGTATGGCTCACTTTGCCAGGCCCATAAAGTGAGACAGGAGTAAAGAACTTCCCCACCATGGTGCCTGTCGGACAGGTCTCTTTAGCTGCATGTGTTCGTGGCTTGGCTCTACTCCTTATCATAGTAAATTTACAAGTATAAGAGTTCTGTGATTTAAATGATATATGTGAAGCACTTAGCAAGTGATGGCTCAACTTTACACTGACTTTACAAGGCCTCAGCCTGGGGGCTGTGAAGTCTGCTCTGTGTGAACTTTTCTTGGCCTGCCTGCAAATGTATTTGTTTTTGCTGTGACAACTAGATGTATATGGTTGATAAGGCTGCTTGTTTTATCTTTCCTTATCTTTGTCCAGCGTGACCATAATTTATAAACAGAACAGTTGGAACCACTTGTTCTATGTCAAATGAGATATTTGCTGCACTAGCACAATGATTTCATGAGAGACGTACAGGCCTGGTGTGATACTGAACCACTTGAGAAGTTACAGCAAGAAGCATAGAGTACAGGCAGAAGGTGGGAAGAGATAGGACATAGAGTTCTTATTGCAGACTCCATGGCAATAAACTCAAGCAGACCAGCATAGGGAGACTGTATGTGCCTTATTGCAACAGTAAGTACAAAAATGCCAAAAGCAATGAACAAAGGACCTCTTTACAGAGAGAGCTCCAGGCTTCAGCTGACTGCAGCCCACAATTAGGAACAGCCAGTGTTGTGACAATTAACCTGTTCTACAGACCAGTAATAAGATTCACAACTGTACTGTAATTCCACAGTATACTGGAAATGCAATAGTCTGCAAACGTAATGTGTATTTATATTGTGATTACTGTATCATCCTACTAAATGACACCCCCTGAAAATGCAAATAGTCTCAAAGAAGTAAACTGCACTAAACACTGGACCATCTTGAAAAGCCTGGTCAGAGAATACTGGACTTTTGCAGGTTGTTCTGAACCCTGGAGGCTGTCACAGCTTGTGGCTGTCACCAAGTCTTTGTGGCAGGCATCACTGGGAACCTTTTCCAGGCACACCCAAAGTAACGTTAAGCGTCCCCACCTCAGCATGTGCCCTTACAGTCTCCCTCTGGATTGTAGTCTTCCCTCCCATTGTAGTCTTGGCTTTGGCAGCCCTCCATCTATCCACAATCAGACAGCTTGACCTGATGCTGCCTCCAGTCTGGCTC